TGATTTGCCAACATTATATGGGTAGGATATTATGTAGAATACACTTCAATCATCTCATGATAACCTCCCCAGTGTTAAACTACCCCGTCGTCAGGCTAGGCTCGTTAACGCGGCGGTCGTCTCTCTCACATCCCAAGACGTATTTATTATCGACTTTCATGTTCTGTGTATTAAAAATAGTTTTTATCGCGTATAAATTATTTTTTTATTCTATAATTAGGCGTATAGTAGGTTCGGTATTTAGGTTCTGTTGGCAATTATTTGCACTTGAAGTATGTGAAGGGAGAAGCATTTACAGTTGTCTGTCCTCAGGCCAGGCTCCCCTACGCCGCCGCCCAACCCAAAGCCGCAGTCGTCAATTTTATCGCTGTGTATTCAGAATTATTCTCGTGTATAAAGTAATATTATTTCATCAAGTTAATAGTTAACAACTAAGTTTAGTGACAAGCGACAGTCCAATGTACAAATACTGCAATAGTTTAGTTCATTTATTATGAACCCCATACCCATCTAGTGGGTGGTAGTGGAAAGGGTTACAGAGGCACATAATAGGCTCAGGGACTGAACCCCACAATTCATTTAGCTAAGCAAGTTACAATATTGATGAGCTAGTTACGAAATTCAGTATTAGTCGTCACATCATAAATGGGTTCGAGATCGACCACAAGTACAGTTTCTAAGTTAAGCAACTGACATATGTGGAGAGTACCTAGTGTCATAATTGATACAGTATGTCCTAAAGTCACACCGCCCCCCATCAGATAATTTTAAGTGGGCAGCGGTGGATAGGTTACATCCAGTCACTGGATAGTTACTACCTACAGTTTGCAAACTGGGGATATTTGGCTAAAATTTCTGGTAGCAGATCATTTTGAATGAAATATTTACACATTGCTGAAACATTGGTTATAGAATTCTCTGAATTCACGTATCTTTTCGCACTCCATCACATAGTGACGGAAGGTGCGCGAATAATTTTGTTGACAGTTTACATTTGGTCAGGTCTACATCGGCAGATAATGAGAATTCCCAGAGATACTTAATTGTAACCGAGTCTAAGCCGAGCAGTAGTAACATCTAGACGTCTGCTGATATTATTGGATGAACCATAGATGTGTGGCTCCTCTTGCATGATAGTATGATACTGCAATAGATGAAAAACTTCCCACCAGGAAGGAGCGGGGACACCCCTCCGGGAACTGAATTTACCCGAGGGCCACTAACACTAGTGGCCTCGATGAGGGCAGTAAGCCGGCGGCTTGTCAAAGGTCCCCCTATTTGTCCTGATGATCTTTTCCAGCTGTATTTTAAAACCAGCAGAGGTTTGGCGTTTACTGCTTCGGCGGGTAAGCGGTTCCACTGGTTTACAACCCTATGTGTGAAAAAGCATCTCCTGTTTCCTGTCCAACATTCTGGAATGTTGAGTTTGAACCCGTTGCTCCTTGTTCGTGTAATATCTTACCTTTTGAAGACATTGTCCTGATCGACATCCACCAAATTTAGTATTTTAAAGGTTTCTATAAAGTCCCCCCTGTCATGCCTGGTTTGTGGTGTTGTTATCCCTGTGGCCCTCAACCGTTCCTGATACGAGAGATGACAGCTCTGGTATGATTTTTGTCGTAAGACATAGCTCCATAGCTCTGGTAAGACATACGGCTCCAGAGCAGCTGTGTCTTTCTGAAAATGAGGTCTCCATGCCTGGATGCAATAATTCATGTGGGGGCGCACCAGCTACTGTCTCAGTAGACCTTGGCGTGCGGTTACACAACTGGTCGGTCTCCGGTTACACAACTGGTCTGGTTTCAGTTACACAACTGACTAGGCTTGCGCTTACACAACTGGTGAGGCTCCGGTTACGCAGCTGGTTGGGCTCCCATTACACAATTAGTCGGTCTCCGGTTACACAACTGGTCGGGGTACGGTTAAATAACTAGTCGGGCTCCTGGGGTCTCACTTGGGCTAAGGATTGTGCATGGTCAGGCTTTGGTTCATGCAAGGTTGTGATCCAGAGGTTGTTTGGTTCATTCATGCTATGCTTGCGGTTATACAACTGATCGGGGTCCGGTTACATAACTCCGGGGGTGTCACTTGGGCTTTGGGTTGTGCATGGTCGGGCTCTGGTTCGTACATGGTTGTGCTTCAGCGGTTGTTTGTGTACTAATGCTCCAGGTTTGTTTGCTAAGGCTCTGTTTATATGTTTGCTAGAAATCCGGGTTTCTTTTTTGTATATAGTTCAATTGTTTGCTATTACTCAATAGTTGGTGTCTAGGGCAAGTGGAGGGTTTTAGGTAGGGCTAAGGAGATTTTTGTTTGGTCGAGCTAGGAATGGAGTTTGGTTGTGCTTTGGGACTGTTTAGCTTGGTGGGGGTTGGATGAGATGTATACATGCTAGGCTTATGGTTCCACAACTGGTCGGGGCCTGGTTACACAACTGGTCAGGCTCCGGTTAAATAACTGGTCGGGCTCCGGTTAAATAACTGGTCGGGCTCCGGTGGTGTCACTTGGGCTTTGGGTTGTGCATAGTCAGGCTTCGGTTCGAGCATAGTTGTGCTTCAGCGGTTGTTTGTGTACTAGCGCTCCAGGTTTGTTTGCTAAGGCTCTATGTTTATATGTTTGCTAAGAATTCTGAGTTTCTTTTTTTGTATATAGTTCAATTGTTTGCTATGGGTCAATAGTTGGTGTCTAGGGTAAGTGGAGGGTTTCAGGTAGGGCTAAGGAGATTTTTGTTTGGTCGAGCTAGGAATGGAGTTTGGTTGTGCTTTGGGACTGTTTAGCTTGGTGGGGGTTGGATGAGATGTATACATGCTAGGCTTATAGTTCCACAACTGGTCGGGGCCTGGTTACACAACTGGTCAGGCTCCGGTTACACAACTGGTCGGGCTCCGGTTAAATAACTGGTCGGGCTCCGGTTAAATAACTGGTCGGGCTCCGGTTAAATAACTGGTCGGGCTCCGGTTAAATAACTGGTCGGGCTCCGGTTAAATAACTGGTCGGGCTCCGGTTAAATAACTGGTCGGGCTCCGGGGGTGTCATTTGAGCTTTGGGTTGTGCATGGTCAGGCTTCAGTTCGTGCATAGTTGTGCTTCAGCGGTTGTTTGTGTACTAGTGCTCCAGGTTTGTTTGTTAAGGCTCTATGTTTATATGTTTGCTAGAAATCTGAGTTTCTTTTTTTGTATATAGTTCAATTGTTTGCTATGGGTCAATAGTTGGTGTCTAGGGCAAGTGGAGAGTTTTAGGTAGGGCTAAGGAGATTTTTGTTTGGTCGAGCTAGGAATGGAGTTTGGTTGTGCTCTGGGACTGTTTAGCTTTGTGGGGGTTGGATGAGATGTATACTTGCTAGGCTTAAGGTTACACAACTGGTCGGGGTCCGGTTACACAACTGGTTGAGCTTCGGTTACACAAGTGGTCGTGCTCCGGTTACATAACTGGTCGGGCTCCGGTGGTGTCACTTGGGCTTCGGGTTGTGCATGGACGGGCTTCAGTTCATGCATGGTTGTGATCCAGAGGCTGTTTGGTTCGCTCATGCTAGGCTTGTGGTTACACAACTGGTCGGGGTCTGGTTACACAACTGGTCAGGCTCCGGTTACACAACTGGTCGGGCTCCGGTTAAATAACTGGTCGGGCTCCGGGGGTGTCATTTGAGCTTTGGGTTGTGCATGGTCAGGCTTCGGTTCGTGCATAGTTGTTCTTCAGCGGTTGTTTGTGTACTAGTGCTCCAGGTTTGTTTGCTAAGGCTCTATGTTTATATGTTTGCTAGAAATCTGAGTTTCTTTTTTTGTATATAGTTCAATTGTTTGCTATGGGTCAATAGTTGGTGTCTAGGGTAAGTGGAGGGTTTTAGGTAGGGCTAAGGAGATTTTTGTTTGGTCGAGCTAGGAATGGAGTTTGGTTGTGCTTTGGGACTGTTTAGCTTGGTGGGGGTTGGATGAGATGTATACTTGCTAGGCTTACGGTTGCACAACTGGTCGTGGTCTGGTTACACAACTGGTCGTGCTTCAGTTACACAACTGGTCGGGCTCCGGTTACAAAACTGGTCGGGCTTCGGGGGTATCACTTGGGCTTTGAGTTGTGCATAGTCGGGCTTCGGTTCCTGTATATGTTTGTGCTTTGAATGTTGTTTGTTCGATTCATTCATGCTAGGCTTGCGGTTACACAACTGATCAGGGTCTGGTTACACAACTGGTCAGGGTTCGGTTACACAACTGGTCGGGCTTTGGTTACACAACTGGTCGGGCTTTGGTTACACAACTGGTCGGGCTCTGGTTACACAACTGGTCGGGCTTCGGTTACACAACTGGTCGGGCTTCGGTTACACAACTGGTCGTGCTTCGGTTTCACAACTGGTGGGGCTCCGGATACACAACTGGTTGGGTTCCGGATACACAACTGGTCGGGCTCCGGTTACACAACTGATCTGCGGGGGTGTCACGTTGGGCTTCAGGTTGTGCATTACCCTCTTTGTGTAATGAAATTTTAAAATAAAAGTTAGATATATATACACACATACTAAAAGAATAGGGGTGCTAGGAGAAGAAAATATCAAAGTGTTCAGTGTGGATCCACAAGATCTTCTCTGGGTACTCTTTATTTTCTTCTCCAAGGCTATGGGTCCCTACACTTGCACTATAGGTGGTAACCCTTTTAGATTTATATATATATATATATATATATATATATATATATATATATTATAATATATATATAATATATATATAATATATATATAATATATATAGAATATATATATATATATATATATATATATATATATATATATATATATATATATATATATATATATATATATATATATATATATATATATATATATATATATATATATATATATATATATATATATATATATATATATATATATATATATATATATATATATATATATATATATATACAATATAATATTATATAATATATATAAATTGGGCTACTTTTATTACAAATTCGCTACTTTTAGACCGTCTGCTCGCTACTTTCATCAATTAGGATCTGGCAACCCTGGTTGGAGTGTTAGTAGTGTTGGCCAGCAATACGCTGAGGGACGGGTGTTTGTACTGTGTTTCAGGCAAGTGCGATAAGTTGTATGCAATACTGAAATTGGAAATACAATTTGAATTAAAAAAAACTTAAAACATATACTTCTACATATAATGTGTTGAGGGAGGTGGTGGGAGGGAGGAATGTTGTGAGGTAAACAGCTGGTGAACCTGGGGCCTCCCTTGGGCCTTACCCCTGGCTTACCCCTGGCTTACCCATAGCATAACTGATTAATGATTATTCTCAGTGTGTCACTTATTGTCTTACTTATTGATTTGGCCTGGGTTCCTATCCTGGCCGGGGAGGATTGACTGGGCACCAATCCTTAACTATATGCCTCTGTTCACCCAGCAGTGAATGGGGTACCTAGTTGTTAAACGATTTGACGTGTCGTATTCCGGGGATGATTAAGGTTAAGGACCTGTCTTAAATAATATGCGTGCTAGTGGCTTTTCAAGAATGTAAGAACTTTCTTGTATGTACTGTATTGGGTACTGGGAAGCATTCCGCTACGTCTTGCCCTCACTGGGAGTCAAACTCTGGGTTCCATCAATTATGAACCAACTGTGCTGATCGACTCATTTATGGTCTAATTTAATGTGGGATATTCAATCATGGTTCACCTAACCTATCCTGGGATAATCTAATCCATCCTATCAAGTAAAATATATATTTTTAGTAATTGGAAAAGGAGCTATGTGCAAAATGCCTTCGTATAATATGATTGTACCCCGTGTTAAGTACGGTGGATATGGTAATGTAGCCCACAGTTTTGTCTGCAAATTTTCATTTAAAAAATACAGTACTGTAGTGTAAATTCGTACAGTATTCTGTAACGTTGTCCACCCACAATACAGTACACAATTAGATATGGATCACTTCATACAGAATATGATTTGCATGAGGTATAAGACCTACCAACCGACCCCACAATGTGTGACAGGCTACAGATTTTCTAGTGATAATGTACATAACCATTAAAAATATAATACTGAACAGTACATAGGGTTTTCCATTGCTTATATATATGACATGGCAGTACTTCATACAATTTGATTTATGCCTTTTAAACATATTATTGGTAATGTTTGGTTTGGTTAGGTTAGGCTAAATTTATAAATCTGTGTTCACTCCTTCTCTTACATGAAGTGACCTGGGTCCACTTCTACTGTACTGTATTTCCAATTTCCAGGACTAAACAGGGCTGGGCAGCTGGCAGGATTGCACCAAGTGTCACTATTGTATACACTTTGGTATATCTTGTTTTTATTTTTAATTGTTTTTAGGTAAAATGCAAAAGTTATATTAGGTTATAATGTGTTACCCAGTATCTAAATAACAGTGCCTGTTAATAAATAAATGATGATAATAGTAATAAACTAGAGGGTTTGATTAAAATTTGTATGTAGCAGATATACAGTACACATTTATAATTTTATAAATCTACTAATCATGCTATGTTTGTAGGTGAAGGCTTGTCTGTGGGTATCAGGGCAAGCTGTAAAAAAAAATTCTAGCTGGTGAAACCTCAAATTTTTTACAGATGGGTGATCACGGCCATGGAAGGGGAAGAGGGAAGCAGAAAGGTGGTGGTCGTGGAGCACGGAGTAACTCAAAGCCTGGAATAGGCTCGCTCGCAGACAGTGAAGGGTTCTGGGCTCATTGCAGTGTTAAGTCAGTCTCACTTGGAAAGGCTGGTGGTGGGAGAGGCAACACATCCTCTCAGAAAGTGGTCCACAAACCAGAAAGCATGGAAGCAGAAACTGAGTGAGTTACTGTATTATTTTATTGTAACAATGTAAATACTGTACAATGAAAGAATGAAAAATAGGATGTTGTATATACTGTAATTATAATACAGCTGTACAGTAATATAATAATTAACTTCTATTTGAGATAATTATTTTTTTTTACCTCATTAGTATTACTCTCTCTCTAGTGACCTCAATAAGGACAGGAAGCCAGTGGCTTGTCAAAGGTTTCCCCCATTTGTCCTGATTTTATTAAGGTGGATTTTGAATTGTAGCAGTGTTTTGCAATTTATGGATTTGGCGGGTAGGTGGTTCACTGGTTTACAACCTAATGGGTGAAAAAGTGTCGTCTCTTTTCAGTCCTACACTGTGGCTTCTTGAGCTTGAAACCATTGCTCCTTGTTTGTGTTACATCTGACCATTTAAAGTAGAGCTCAAGATCGGTATCTTCCGAATTGTTTAATATTGTAAAAATTTTGATGACAACCTTGTCATGTCTGGTTTGCAGTGTTGTTAGCTCTGTGGCCCTCAACTGTTCCTGGTATGAAAGTTGACTTGGTTCTGGAATGATTTTTGTCACTTTGTGTTAAACTTTCTCTAAAGCAGATACGTCTTTCTAAAGATGAGGCCTCCATGCTTGGATACAATAATCTAAGTGAGGATGCATTAGAGATACAGTTGAATAACTACTTTTCTTTTCCTTAAAAGTCCTGCTTCACATCTGTTATTACCTAGCAGTGTGCTGTGATGAATAATTTTCTTGGGTGTGGAGGTGCTGTGTTGTGTGTGTAAGACTGGTGAATTGGACTGGCCATATTTTAAAATTTGTTATCCTTTTCCAATACAGTATAATTTAATTCCCTGTGTTGGGGACAGGAAGCCAGAGTGTATTCATACACATTTGACTTTTATCGAGGTCCCCCCCCCCCCCTCCGCCAAATTACTGACCCCTGCCCAAGATGCAACTCCACAACAAGTTGACTGACTCCTGAGTATCTACTCACTGCTAGGTGAACAGGAGCATCAGGTGAAAGGAAATGTGCCCAACTATTTCTGTCCCACCAGGGATTCGAACCCGGAATTCTTGATTGTGTGTCGAGAGCAAACCCAACTGTACAATCGAGTATTATACTGTACTTCCTAACTTGCTTGGAACTTGTTTGTAACTGCCCTATAAAAGAGGGAAATGAGATGTGATGTGTATTGGCTTCTTCAAGTATGACTTAATTTATTCTACATCTGATTTCTACTGTTAAAATTATTTTAAATGATTTAAAATGATTACTGGTATAGTACTTATGAATATTGTCAGGATTGGCGAGAGGAAGTTTGCTGCTGCGTGCAAAGAAATCCAGCAGTCAGTGGAGCGCTATATGGCTTCTCACCATTTTGAAGACTCGGAAGATGATGATGATGATGATGAGGACGACCTTGAGGAAAATAATATACTTGGTCAGTGAGCAGTTTTGAATTAAAAATGTAATTTTTTCAGGAAAGGAAAAACATGGTTATTTTATATGGTATTTAATACAGTAAAGTATTTTGAAAAGGTAAATACAGTATTTTATTTAGCTGCTATAAAGTATAAAATGAAAAGAATAGTTATAATTCAGGGGACTTATGAATTTAGTATATAATTAGTGTAAAATAAAGCTTGTAAGAATTTGAAGAGCTGGAAATGATCACAATTATTTTAAATTTCAACTATTCTTTTTTACCCCCCTCCCCCCCCCCCAAAAAAAAAAAAAAAAAATTGCTGTCATAAAAATCCAGAGTTGACTGTAATGAAATGCCCCTTGTCTTGGTGGATACCTTGCTGGCTCCATGAGCTACCCACCCCCTATAAGCTTCAAACCTAGGATACCACACTAGGCTCAAAGATTCATAAGCTCCTATTGGATGCCAGTACCAGAATCTGGCCCCCTCCATAGAGGTAAAGGGAGTCTGGGAGTATTAGACCACCACAGTAATCTGAAAGAAAAAATCACCAGAAATGTAGGGTACAACAAAAGCAACTACATACAAAACATTGGCAACCGAGACATGAACATGCACATGCTTGTAATCGGCACTTGACTGCTAGTTATTGACAACCACTCGCCATAGACAAGTGGGCACTCACATGGGTGGCACTTGAATGAAACCTCCTCTGAATATTGCAGAAGAAAGGAAGAATGGGACTGGGGAGTTACCAAGGGATCCACCAGAAAGAGGCATTTTATTACATTCAACAATGTACTTTTATGAAAGTGGTTATTACTGCAAACAAACATAATTTTTGTTTAGTTCTGTTCAGAGTCTGTTTCCTGAGACTTGAGAACAGTGTGTGTTTAGCTTTGTTTACATTCCTTCACAGAACGTGTATATGGACAGTATGGAACAGAGAAAGACCAAAGTCGCACACAGCAGTATCTTCAGGAAGCATTCAAAACAGGTGCTCTCGTGTGTCTCATCTGCATTGAGAACATCAAACGCTCTGATTCAGTATGTTATCATTCTTTTTAATTGAATGATCACTGAATTTACATACATTATTATTACAACCATATTTTTCACTTTGAAGAGGTTGAAAGGTAATCATCCAAAGAAAGTTGGTAAAGTAAAAGGTTATTAAATAATACAAAATTAGAAATATCATTCATCCGTTCATTATGTAGGTTTAGGGGCTATTCAAGCCTGTGCCACCTCTTGGGTGCATTAATCTTCATCAATCAATCAATTACATAGATATAAATCACAATATGTAGCATCAGGGATAAATAAATGCACAAAATTCTGAATAAAAGACTAATTCAGGGTTTAATAGCTGCAGGCCCCTAATACTGTACAAATATCATCACATAATAAAAGCAATTACAAAATGATAGAATTTTTTCATGGGTCTCTGTCAATGCTATTACAGTACATCTATATAACTATATTAACATCATTAGTATACAAATGGGTATAATAACAAAAATCATCATGTGATGACAAGTTTAGTGGCCTAGGGGGATCTACAAATGATAACTGTTTTGGGGTTTAAATTACTAATTCTGAGCTCAGTGGTTTTGTTGCATCCTTTCTTTCCTGTATAAGGTTTTCCAGGGTTTCTGAGAATTTAGTGTCTATGTTCTACAACTACTTCAGAGCAGAACAACTGCACAGTGAAAATTATTTTGTAAAACAAATAGCTGCTCTGCTTATAACAATTCAGCAATTGTAAATAAGTGCAACCTTTCCTGTACAAACTGTATGTGACTAGATTTGATTTTTAATTTGCTGAAATTTACTCTATGCTGCATCTCAGTATTGCTACATTTAAAAAAAATTCTATCCTTGAATCTCTTTGCATTGAGAGTTTTGCTTACCAACACTTTCAGGTAAGTTGGTGATAGCTGCTAGGTATGAACTTATCGCATTTCACTTAACAATCACTGATGGTTATCCTTTTGCAGATCTGGAGCTGTGGTGAATGTTATAGCAGCTTCCATGTGAGTTGTGTACAGAAATGGGCAAAGGACAGTATTTACCAGATGGCTGAAGCTCAGGCTGATACCAATGAGAAAATAGATAAATCTTGCCTTAAATGGTGCTGGTAAGGATTACAGCTTTATGTATATTCATGCATAAATACATGCTGGGGCATTGTGTTACTGTATTGTTTGGTTTCTAGTGTGTTGTAGCAGAAAATCTAAATTAGTGTTTTTTCTCATATTTTTCCAAAATAATAACTTGAGAAATATAGACACTTAGCAATTTGGTTGACAACTGGAATAGATGCTGTGATGACAGGGTCTATTGCAGTACAGCATTTTGATTTAAAGATTCTGGGTTACCATCAGTAGGTGTCAGAATGGTTAATTTTAAGTGATTGAAATATTCTAACTTTAGTGCAGATGAAACTGTTTTTGTCACCCCGTCTCTTTCTTTGGCTATGGTGTAGGTGGACCTGTTTCAGCTCCTGCTTGTATTAGAGCCTCACCTCTGGTTCTGGGTCTCCTCCTCGGTTGAAATTTGAGGTTCCTGTTTCTCCCTTGCTAGCTGTATTTCGTTGTCTGTATTTTTGTCAAAAAATAAAAAATAAAAGCTCCAACCCCATTATATCTGAGCTTGATCATGACCATGCGAAATAAAAAGGGACACTGTCCTATAAAAAAACCTGTTGCCTGATAGGCTGTCACCTATAAAGGAGATTTAGCCAAGACCAGCTATGAGAAACCTTTTAACAGGGATGAAAACGATCATCAACCCAACAGATGTAATGATGGAGACAAAAAATTTCCATTGGTATGAATCAAAGCATACAAACACCCACACCACAGCAGCAGACTCAGAGGAGGGTTCCTTAACACCCCCAACATGAGGCAAGCAGGAAACAATCAGCTGGAAGACTAGGTTAGGGGAGAGGCAACATATGAAATTCATATCTAACTCCTCCCCCCCCCCTTCCCCTCACCTGGAAAATTGCAGTGAAGGCAGCAAACCACAGCCATACCATGAGCCGCAAAGAAATTCACCACATGGGTCCGAAGAAAAACACATACCACTCCAACCACTAGGCTCCAGCAGAGGAGCCAAAGCATAAACACAGCCTGAAGACAGGCCTCTTAAGAGGAGGAATACCCCAAGCAACAGACACCTGAATCTTCTAAAGGAATATAACCAAGTGCAATGCCAGTGGCAATTAAAGAAGGCAACTCTAATTGCATGCAACTGTGGCAAAATGTGAATTTAGGCATACACAACAGGAAGGTCAAAATACATACATATGAAGCCTGAAAAAGAGGACCAAACACAAGCCTCTAGACTAGTCAGTGTCCCAAAAGGAAGGCAAACACTTGGCTGAGGATCCAGCCTGGAGAGTAGGGTAGTACTGTACCCTGACTCACTAGGCAAGTGAATGAGGTGGTTAGTTTGTTGGTATCCTCGGGTGGCCAGGGCTGTTATCTGGTGGCAAGCGAGTGCTACTAACTAGCAGTTGTCTGCCGCTAACGAGTATGCATATACAGTAGTTCACATCAAGGTTGCCAGTGTTGCCTATGCAGTTGCTTGTTTTGATACACTCTACATTTCTGGTGTTTTTGTCTTTTGATTATTGGTATGTCTTGTACCCTAGATTATTCTTACCTCTATTTAGTGGGCTAGATTTCAGTACTGGTCTCAGCAAGCAGTTCTGACTCTTTGAGCCTGGTGTGGTATGCAAGGTTTGTTGGGTCCCAGGTTGGTAACCTGTGGAGCTACTGAGGGATCCTTCCCAGAAACAAAAATGCAATGGCATGTGCTCATTATACTACCTGAACTCATTATAGTTCCTGTTTTCACTACAGTACTCATAGTCATTAGACCATATATTTATTAGAATAACCTGTTTATATCCTAAAATATGATGGGCCAGATATGTTTCTTAATTTTCCCGCATGCAATTGAAAGCTATCTAGTCTTATTAGATATTACATAATGCAAACACCTAGATAAATCAAATAAATACAGGTAATGTACAGCAACAAAAGTACCATAATTTCAAGTGTTCCCATTTCCACAGCCCTAAGTGCCGGAATGAGTACACACAGTCCGTCATTCCTACCAAGTACCTATGTTTTTGTGGTCAAAAAGTGGATCCTCAATTTGACCCGTGGCTCATACCTCACTCTTGTGGCGAAACTTGTCGGAAGAAACTACAGCCACTCTGTGGTCACACCTGCCTACTCCTCTGTCACCCTGGTATGTTATATTTATGGAGTCTGAAGATTCTTTCCATTTCTCCATCCTATCCTAAATCCATATCCATATATCCCTTACAAGTGCGATAGTCATAATGAGTTAGTGCTTTCTCCTGATAATTTCCATGCCTTGCCTTACCTTTCCAGATACAAATTCACATTTTCATAAATTCTGGCATGTGAGTTGATATCTAGTCAGTAATTTTCTCTTTATGCAAGTATTGAGTTAATCTTTTATATGATATTTGTGCCTAATGGTTTATTGGTGTTTAACTTTTTTTTTTAATGGCTCATATTTATAAACTAAATCTATTTGTTTAATCCTTAATAGGAAAGTATTTGGAGGAAATTATATGCTTATAATCTTAAAATTTATAATTTCATAAAGTCAAACAGTACAGTATATGTAATTATGTTGCTTCACTCTTTATATACTATGCACATCTGATTTTCAAATTAGTTATGCTTCTAGTTCTCACAAAACACTTGTAACTGCGATCCTCAGGTCCATGTCCACCGTGTCCCAAAACCGTCACAAACACGTGTCACTGTGGCCAGCGGCCTCCACAGACCCGACGGTGCTCCTCCAAAACATGGTCCTGTGGCCAGCCATGCGAAAAAATCCTCAGCTGTGGTCAACACTCGTGCCAAGATGCTTGCCATCCTGGAGAATGTAAACCATGTCCCAGACAGAGTCGTCAGCCATGTTGCTGTGGCAACAGCATTCAATTAAGAGAATGTGCTAACCCAGTCTGGCAGTGTGATAAGGTTAAGCTTTGTTCTACAATTTTGCATAATCTTTAAAATTTGCAATATATCTTAAACAACTGAATAGTAATTTTAATTCAGTTTTATTGGAGGGAGGGGGGGACAGGCAGCCATAGTATGCATATACGTTAGGCTGGTTCGAGGTCCCTCTAAGGTCGAACTACTGTCCCCTTCCAGGAAGCAACTAAACAGTTGGCTGCCTTCCTAATACCTATCTACTTCTAGGTGAACAGTGGCATTAAGTGAAAGGAAACGTGCCCAACCATATTAGTCCTGCCTGGGATTCAAACCCAGGATTCCTGATTGTGAGCTGAGAACAATATTGTATAATGAAAGTTAACATACCTGTGTTCAAATTTGTACTTTGAATATAGTATACAATACAGTACTGTACTAACCATACAGATGTTCATGATAATCATTAGTAAAAATTGCATGTATAGTAGTAGCACCTAATTATCTTCAATATCATACATTGTGAGGATAGATTGCAGTAAGGACCAGTATTATTTACTTAAGCTGGTGTATGTTAGACACTAGATGTATCTTTCTACAGTTCATGTAAGGGGGGGAGGGGCACTTTTTCAGAAAATGCGAGTTAAAAATAACAGTACAGTACTAGGGACATTGCTAGGCATAGTCTGCATAAAGTTAATGCAAAAACATATATTTTTGTTAATTTATATTGAAATAATTATAGATTGAAATTTTTTAAGTAATATTTTTTGCCCTTAATTGATTAGAAAGAATAAAATGAGAGAATCGGATCCTTAATTGATATTAAGAATGCTGAAGGATTACTGATTCAAGTACAGTACTGAGTTACAGGCCCAAATCTTGTAATACTGCAATACTTCTACTAATATTATCATTATTATTATTATTATGATTATAATTACAGTAACACCAAAAAACTTGTATAACCTATTTTTGTGTTCATTTTGTGTTTGTATTTACATGTATAATATCTCAAACACGTGATAATTTTTAGGGACATCAAATGTCAAACTGCAACACTAAATACACGCTCCATATTTTATGAACTTTTATATTTTTAGGTGTGTAATAAACAACATAGTTGTGGCCATCATTTGTGCCAGAAAGTGTGCCACAGTGGAGATTGTGGCAAGTGTCCAGAAAGTGGCGTTCGCACATGTCCTTGTGGGAAAACGTCTCACACTCTTCCGTGCACACGAGACATTCCAACATGTGGCGACACCTGTGGCAAAGAGCTGGCATGTGGAGTGCACTTTTGTGCTGAGCGCTGTCACAAGGGACCATGTCCAATTGTAAGACACTTTTAAGTTTTTTTTTTGTTCTTTGGTATTTCTTAAATAACTTGGACAAAATTTTACCCTACTTGCACGAATTGTATATACTGTATTAAGAAATTCAAGTTAAAAACATAGAGTAGGTGCTCCATAGTTAGTACAGGTAATAAAAGAGAACAAAGTAATTTATAAAACTTTTTTTTTATCTGGCAGAACAGTATATGCTTCATTCTGAGTTCTAGGAATGTTAGAATGATAGAATTCTTGAATACTTTATCTCAATATTTTAATTGCTGTGATTAATCCTAGCAACATCTCGTAAAGTGATAATGTTATAAGTAAAAAAATTGTATTTGTGATGGCAAAACTAACTAAAGTACTGTACACTAATATCATAATTTGCTTGGCTTTATTCTCAATAATATTTTATCATCCACTTACATTTTTTGTGTACCAGTATACAAATTTTGGATATAGGTACAGGTGTATTACCTTTTCAGTGCCAGATAATATTAGTTTGTTGTGTTGCTTAAAAAGTTATGCTTATTTGGTCTATTGACTGAATCTTTATCATTGATACAATTGTCATTGTCACCTTTAAAATATTTTTATAACATCTAGCCTGCATACTTTATGGAATGATACATAGGTATGACAGTGGGTTACTAGAGATATGATTCAAATACAGTATGCTGTATGAAGTTCATTGTCAAGTCACTGATATAAAATAAAATTGATCACGGTGCCCAGTTTTTACATCATACAAAGTGCTTGTATTCACCCAGTCAACATTTGTAGTGCCTTCAGTTTCGGGTGAAGCAGTGTCGGTGTGGGACACGGAAAAAGGAAATGGCCTGCAGCAAGGAGCTTACGTGTGAAATCAAATGCAAGAAACTGAGAGATTGCAGGCGACACACATGTAGCAGAAAGGTAATTCAAATATAGATGTGTTTAAATTGAATTTAGTCCAATAAGTTACATAATTTGTGTTGCAATTGGTTAAGAATGTGTTCTGAAAGTGTGCTAGTTTTCCAGATTTCAAGTATTTATTCTTGTATGAAGTTTCATAGTTTGATATAGATCAGCTAAACCTTTGCTGTGGAGAACACAAAACGGAACAGCGAGAGGCAGTGATAAATATTTGTTAAACGGCATAACTTGATGAATTGTTACGTTCTCCTTTTCATACATTTGTTCAAGAAGAAATGTTTAGTTAACATAGGGATTTCACCATGGATATAGTGATTAATATATACTAGTAATTATATGAAAACATTTATATGATGGTCAGTGATGCAATAAGATAGACTTGGTTGGTGGACAATTCCCTAGCCATGGTGAGGCCTACTACTCCTATTCACTTCGTGCAATAAGTCATCACTCTTGTACCTGTGCCAGAAACTGTGGGTGATCTTCTGGCTACACGGGGGCCCTCTGTAGGGTTCTCACGTAAAATATCAAAATTACCTTGATTTGTGTGTGTGCCTTCTAGACTCAAGTACTGGGCTACTGCCTCACATTATTTCCTAATTCTTCACTGATGATGGCTTATCTTTAGTGCTGTGTGGGAGACTGCCCAAACTGTGAGCAGCCGTGTGGTCGGACTTTAGTGTGTCGCAGTCACAAATGTGAGAGTCGTTGTCACCAAGGACCATGTTATCCATGCACAGTGACACATACTATATCTTGTGCTTGTGGAGCCAGCAAAATCACCGTCCCATGTGGTAGAGAGAGGACCACTAAGCCTCCCAAGTGCTCCAAACAATGCAAGTACGTTGCTCATATTGTATGGTAATACTTTTCTTTTCGTAAAGTGGCATGATATACTGTACTTTATTTTGCATTAATACCTTCAAAAGTATTAGTTAATAAAATAAAATGGCATTAGTTTGACTTTGTTGTTTACAGTATTGTACTTGATAGTGTTGTTGCATTTTCATTAACCCCTGCACTGCTCACCCATTTTCGGCAAAAATGTCTTGGTGCAATTCTCAAGGATATATTTTTGTTATTTTTATAATTGTTCAGGTAAAGTTAATGTCAAAATGTTTCCAAAGTCAACTATTTCCATTTCAAAACACAAAGAGTAATGAAAACATTTAAAAATATTAAAATATAGCCTAATTAAAAAACAAAAAGCACAAAGCGCAAAGCGCCTAAAGGCGCTTTGCGCAGTGCAGTGGTTAAATTAATGATTTTTATCAAAATTAGCTCTTACTAAGCATATATTTGAATTATAATAATGAGCTCTACAAAATTTGGATTTATAGACAAGTGCAGAATTAGTTCATTGAATAATTTATTCAAGCTAGTTGAATAAATTAATAATAATAAATTTAGATTGTCGTAACCAGTAACCAGTCACTGTTGAGCTCATTCAAGTACAGGTATTTAAATTTGCAGAAAGAATTAAGAAACCAATTCTTTCAATTTGCAGGTTGCCTTCTATATGCCACCACCCACAGCAGTTGAAGCACAAGTGTCACCAAGGACCATGTCCTACCTGCCGTATAGTATGTGGAATGAAGCTTCAGTGTGGACATATTTGCCCAGTGCCTTGTCATGATGCAGTTCCTGTAAAGGTAATGTAATGTTTCTCAACTTATGCACTGCTACTCCAAGAGGTATGAGATCTGCTGAATGTTCATTGGATCATTGTAGAGTCACATAGAATTTACAGTAGTCGGCACTAGTACCACAGGAAATATAGTGCCCATAGACCGTTTTTGGGGTTCTTGGGAGTTATTGCAGACTAAGTCAATCCAGACTTTGAAATATCTCGATTGTCATTGTCTGTTGTTAATCTGAAGCACTTCAAAATGATCCTGCAAAGCTGCCATAGTCCCTGTTGTACGAGTGTCGCACAAATTCCCCCTGGCCATCTAATGAAAAGCTCCTGTGATGAAGCTTTTCAGAAGTTCAAGGCCATTTGTAAATTTACACCTAAACTACAGGACAGTATTGTGTGTTTAATATGAAAATGACTTGAACAAATTTGTTTGCATGGAATATGACATGCAGAGAGTTATGGCAACATACAATGATGATGATAATCTTACAATTTATAATGATGTTGCACAATAAGAACAAAAATTAATTTGTAAATTTATTTTATTTCCTTTCAATTTGAAGATTGTTGACACCAAGAAGAGAGCAGGACCTTGGGAGCCAGTGGTTGCTCCTCATATTGAAATCCAAAAGAAGCCGTGTCCTTCCTGTCAGGTGTGTTCAGGCATTATTCTTGTTCTTCAAAAATACCTTTTTTGAAGAACAAAATTATTAAAATTTTAAAAATAATTTATTTATATGTATTAGTATAATTTATACTTATAAAATTATAATTTATACTTAAATATAATTACCAGGTAAATATAATTGATACAAAATAAAATTGTTCTTCAATTCTTGGGCTGGACGGTAGAGCGCTGGTTTCGCTTCATGCCGGTCAGCGTTCAATCCCCGACCGTCCAAGTGGTTGGGCACCATTCCTTTCCCCCCATCCCATCCCAAATCCTTACCCTGATCCCTTCCAAGTGTTATATAGTCATAATGCCTTGGCACTTTCTCCTGAGAGATTCCTTCCCTTTCGGCCTAATTTTAAGGTGCAATTAATCATTGACTTTCATTCGTTAAAATATAATTTATCCCATTATTTTAGGTGCCAGTACCAACAAGATGCTTTGGTCAACATGAAAATCCAAACTGGCCATGCAGTGACCTTCGGCCATACTCTTGTGGACGGAAGTGTGGACGTGTGCTCGACTGCACCAACCACACATGTAAACGGGAGTGTCATGAGGTTGAGAATGCCCCAGATGACAAAAGAGCAGGCTCTAATTGTGCACCCTGTGAAGTACCTTGCTCGAAGGTTGGTGTATGTTGTGTAAATAATGCAGACCTATTGTATATACTCTGCTATAGTGATAGAGGCAAATTAAAGTTATACGAGGCTATTTTTTTTTTTTCTTTTTTTAGATTATGTAGTGAAATAGGTTACCATTAAATTGTCTATACATTTGACCTGTTTGAAGGATATTTTACTATTTATTGTAAATTGTGTGCAGCGTCGCCCAGAAGGGTGCAACCATGAATGTGGGAAAGCGTGCCATCCAGGGGATTGTGCATCATGTGAGAAACTGTTGAAAATCAAGTGTCACTGTGGCCTGAACCAGCTGTACTTGAAGTGTCACATCTGGAACACGGCACCACAAAAGAAACAGGAAATGCAGAGCTGCAAAAATCAATGTAACAAACTGGTAAGTTTCAGCATTTGAGTTTTTTTTTATTTTTTAGGCACATTTGATGCCAAAAGTTTTTTTCTAATTGAATTTTGTTCAATTTACAATTATTCCACTAAAGGACAAGAAATACACATATGAAATAGAATTGATAGATCATTAACCCTTAGGTGATGTTTTAGGTAAGTTGACATTTTTTGCTATAGAAATTTATGAGTTTTAGAGCATATGGCACTATCACAACCAAAAAGTAAAAAATTATTAAAAATATTAAGTACAATACCAGTATTTTTAATATTTCAATTACCCATATAATTTATGGAAAAAAGTCATTAAAGGAAATGGTTTAAGGAATTTAAGGAAAAGGAAAAAAATGGGAACCCTTAAAGTTACCTTAAATTCTATAGAATTTAGTTAATTTGAAATTCTGTATAACCAATGAAATGTATGAAATATTTTTGTAATATATTTGACCAAATATTAAATTTTTTAACTTTTTATTTTTTTTTTTTTAAAGGAAGAAATTATAAATGTATTTTTTCCTCTAATTTTTTAGAATTGTACCCAGAAAGGGTTAATGCTAAATTAAGACAAGTTATCTTGATTTATATCAGTGACGGAGCATTGGCTTGAGATAGTTTAGCTGACTATTGCCTAGATTGCAGTGTATGGCAATATCATTGTGTTCACAAGAGCCTCGGATGTGTACTTGCATTTGTATACACATGCCATGTGATACAGGTCAAGGACTTACTGTTTACATTATACCTGTTTTAAAATAATTTTTCAATTTTTAATGTGTGTTTGTGTATTTTCTTCCGTAAATTTGGCTTGGAAACTTGTTTTTAAAGAAAACATATATTTCCTGATAAAATGTATATCATTCATGAGTTAATTCGTCAAAAATATTGTTTACAGATGTCGTGCAACCACCGGTGTACGAAAGATTGCCACAGTGGTCCGTGCAGCAAGCCAGAAGACTGTCACAAGCGTGTAGCGGTCCGTTGTCCTTGTAAAAGACAGAGGAAAGATTTCTTGTGTCATCTTGTGTTAGCTGGGAAAGTTACCTTAGAATGTGATAATGTTTGTGTTGCAAAGATGGAGGAGAAGAAAAAGGTATGTTGTATAACTATATTTGTCATATTTCTACACACGCGTCATTGTAGTTATGACTTTTTGTGACATTTTATAATGTAGTTTTGTTTAGTATATTTTCATAATTTGCTAAAATATATTTTATTATCCTAGATGCTTTTCTGAATTATCTGGACAAGTAGGTTTGCTCTCCTAATGCTTGTGCCCTTTTCATGGTAATTATCCATGTTCATTACCCTCGTAAACCCCTCCTATTTTTCACACCATACCAGTTTGAGAGATAAATTTTGATATCCTTAAATCATTAGTTATCGTAAAAGGACATCAATAATTGGAGACATGGATGCAAACCATCTTTACTGTGAACGTCATACTCTGTAAACTCTGTGTTGTTCCCTCCAATAACAATATTTCTCAGTGGTGGCTCCAATAGGTAGTACAGTATAACTTATTCAATATGGATGTTTTACTCCCTTCGTGACATGATGAGAGAAATTCCATGTGTAATTTTCCACTTTTGATGACTGTTTGTTGTCTTCCCACCATTCTTAATCCTTGTAGAATCTACCTCAGCTATGATGACTTGGTATAATAATTAATTTATGTTGTAGGTTGATAGGATTATTTTGTCTTGTAATATGGTAATGTATTTTTTCCATATTACAAGCCATAATAATTACATTTTGCCATATGCCTGGCAAAATGTACTTCATATGGTTTTTCCTGGATTATTTATAATTTGTCTATAATATTCTTACTCCTTGATGCTTTCACTTTTCAAGTGACCCTCTTTTTGTTCATTACCCAGAAAACACAAACCGTTACTGTTTCTATTTTCCGCTTGTTACAACTTGTAATAAAGTTGTTACATCTTGGCTTAACTTGTTTATGACATATTAGAACGTTGCTACAACTTGCTATATTGGTTGTTATAGTTGGTTAGGAGGTGTTAAAACTTGTTCGAAAGTTGTACCAATGTCGTAGTTTCGGTGTGTGTTTGGCGGGTAATGCCTTCAGTTAATAGCAACATTCATCTTAGTGTTATATAAAAAAAAAAGTGGACTAAAATTATGCATACATTTTTAAGGCGCAAGAAGAAGAAGAAAGGAGGAAAGCAGAAGAAGAGCAAGCAAGGCTAAAAAAGGAATTGGAAGAATATGAAAGGAAGGTGGAGGGTAAAAAGTCCAGACGTCGAAACAGGCGGCAACAGGACATAGAAGTAGAACAGACGTTCTGGGAGAAGTACGGGAAAATTGTATTGGCAAGTTCCATTCCAGTGGTTACAGTAGCTGTCTATTTGTTATATGACATGTAATAAGATAAATCTAGTCAACATTGGACTACTAAGTTACAGTATTTTTCTTTTGTAATGCACATCCTTTTGCATTGGGTAAATATAAGTTTTTGATTATTATACTAATAGAGTACAAGTAAAAGTATTCTTTGTTAATTATTTTCTATTAAATTAATTTTTTTAATTTGGGTTTTAATGTCACGTATTAAAATATACTGTCTTTTAGCATTAGAGATGGACCTGCACATCTTACACAAGTGTAATTTAGTGTGGATTCATCCATTTGGAAGCAAAATCAAAGAATGGGTATATGTAATGTACAAGTTAATTCCTGGCAAAACAAGCTTTTTCGTTTTTTTGTTAATGCCCTACTTTATTAACATGTAGGAGCAAATAAAGCATTCATTTGCTCATTTGTAATCCATTTGTTCATTTCTACAACTGTTTAACATTAGAAGTTCATTGCAATTAACTTAAGCTTTGGAAACAACCTCGTATAATAAATATATTGGGTAAAGTTTGGTTAGTATTTATGTACATCAGAGGTCACAGATAGGGATAAAATATTTTGCAATGGCATCCACACCTGTTTTGCCACATTGACTGCCTTTGTTGGCACAAGTTGTTGGGACAAGCAATAACTCCAATTGTCCTCACCAATATTTCAACATTATTGACTGCATCCACTTGTCTCCTATCAGTGATTCACAGCTGCAGTGGAATGACTAAGGTTGTATTTTAAGGTAATTTTTTTTCCTGAGGTACACAACTCATCTCGAGTCTCCACCATATAAGAAGGGACTTTATATTTTTGTTTCGCCTGTTCCTTTCCCTCTCAGCCCATACCTTGCATGAATTACTGTACTTTCAAATCACTTATGTGGAAAGGTATCAATTAATACTAAGGCATCTAGTAGGTATTTCCATAAAACCTTTTTATATGGCTTTCAACAATGCATAAGCTTTTTGGCAAGTCCACGCAGTGTTTTTTCACACGTTAAAGGGGAGGGTAGAGACTATTTGCCATCCAAATATATGTTAATACACATGTTGTGTAGCGCTGATTTGTTGTTTCTTAAGTTGTATTTGAGCTTCATAATTACAACCAAAGATCAAAGGGAATGAATGTACCCAAGTATATACGTGTGTGTTTGAAATGTTATTTTGTCCATCCAAATGTTACTCTTGCTGCACAATGAAACCAAAGGTAAAGTTGTTGATTATGTATAAAAAACTAAAGAAAATTAATGAATACTGCATTTAGCAATGTAGATGACAGGAATATATTTAATGCTTTATATTGTGCATTACATCTTTTGTTATTAGTTTTAGTCTGCACCGATTATGTATTTTGATAAAATAATTCATAAAATGTAACATATTATTATTCCCAGATTCTCAATAACACATTAAATGTGGTACTAATTTGTGTTCATTTCCAAGTACTGTATTACATGCATGGAAAAATTTGTGGCATGTACTAATATCTAAATGGGACACTCACATGTTGCAGGCTCAGGGATGAAAAATTATCATCCCAGCAGTGGAATGCCAAAGACAAAGGATGCATAATCATCATAAACATGTTAATATCGCTTATCCATTACAGTAGACACAATATGTAGCATCATGAGTAAATGAGCACTGCAGCCATCCACAGCAACACCTCACTGCTTCATAAGAGGTGTATAGTGCTCCTCGTGGATAGCAGTATTCAGTAATGAATACACAATCACATTCTTTTATAAAGTGTTTTCACTCAACAACTCTCAGGATATGGCAAGAGACAAGGATAACTCACTACACAGTGTGTGTACTATTTTATAGTTTGTCCATTTTTTACCCAGCTTTCCTATCCACCTGTCCTCAGATTCACTTTAATGCAATACATACTCCAACAGTATCATCCATTTCCTTAACATGCCCAAACCATTCTGGTATGCTGTCTTTATATTAGGAGAATAGCGAGAGTAATGTTTTCATTCACCACATGAAGATTAGAAATTGTTAATCTGAGAAACATAAGTCTTGTAGAAAAAAAAATTCCCTTGTAGGTCTGGCTGAAATATACTCATTAGAAAATGGCTAACTATACTTGCAGAAGAATTATAGTGGTAATGACCCTTTAGGCTAACCCCCTTGAGCATTAGAGATGCTTCATCCACTAATGGACTGATAATGGCTGGATTACACTCGTATAGTAAACATTAAGATGCACCAAGGAAAAATTTTAAATGCAGGACTTGATTCATGAAAGTAATATTTATACATTAATTGTAAACTGGATGAAACAATTCAATACAAAACTTGGAGGCTTAAACTATAATAAAGACAATATGCAGAAATGTACATGTACAGTTAGTGCAATAAACTGACTAATAATATTTAGGGGTAATAGTGATACTTATCATTATCATGACATCCTAGTTCTTTCACACTTCTTATATTCATGATCAAGCTTATGTTGTTACAAACAAGTTTATTTCTGTAGATGCCTGTTTATTTACACTTATGCCACAATATACATACATAGGAATATGGACAAAAATTAAAAAAAAAATTGATTGTAGAAAAAATTTAATTTAAAAGTGCTGAAGCATCAGCCATTGTATATTTAATACTGTGCATATCAATGCATTCATTACATGGTAGTATTTGTCTTGGCCCAATCTTTATCTGCAAGTGTGCCAAAGTTAATTTTTCCTTCATACCTTCCATTTTCAGTACTAATAAAATGCCAGATAATTTTCAATAACAAACTATTAATTCCATCTACGGTATTTGGCATGGTGTATTTACAAATATAGCTAATTGGACTTTCAACTACAATATAGAGTTAATTCTCAAAACTTACTTTTGATATAAAGTACAGTATCTGTGTAGCTACAGAACTACACTCCTCTTGCTTCCCATCTGTTTAAGAGATCATGTCCCGTTTCTAAAGCTTTCACTATTGGAAAAAAATGCAATATAAAAGCTAAAAAATCAATTGAAGATAAATATCTATAATAAAATTAATTCTATACACCAGGTAGCTTTCCCAGTTTTTGTGTTGCTGCTAATGCATTTTCATTCATTAACATTTGCAGTTCCTGGAACCTCTCTGATATACGCTGAGTTACCTGCAAGTTAAACAAAATTTATCAGTTTGGTTAAACATACAGCAGACAATTAGGTTTAAAAGAAATACATTCTTGCATAAGTGGTAAAACAAATGACATAGTAATTTCTTAAAGTTTTTATGGAAAAAGTAGGATGCATGTCAGGACAATATTTGATTTAGAAAAAATTACATTTGACTTAATATTATTTAAAGATTGGTACAACACACAGATTAATGTAATGTCTCATCACACAAGCACAGTTGGAAGCACATGGCTTTGGCAAATCTAGATACAATTGGGCTTAGATACCAAGAGAAAAAGCACAAATGTACAAATTGTATTAGAAATACAATGTGGAGTAAATTAGTAATTATCAAAAGAGGGTGCCAAGCCTGGAAGACTATTTAGCACAATCTATCACAATATTCACAAGTCCCTAGATATTGTTGAGATGCCAATACACAAGATGAGCAATGTCAACTGTACCCGAGTCACCAAGACTTGTCAGAGACTTGACTTGAAGGAACCTTGAAAAAAACAGATGTCTAATCATTCTGAAAATTAAAATATTCTATAAGGTGCCTTGCATGACCATTAGCAGAACATGCAGCTGACACTAAGGTGAAGGGTTCTATTCCAGTAAGGTTTCATGTTTTATTTGAATACGGCCAACATGCAACCAATCCAGGCATATTTTCCCCCATTCCTGTTAGTATTAGGAGGAAAGCCATGGGAAAAGTTATATTGTATGTAATTTGTTATTCAGAATAGCAAACCATCGTTTTCACTAATGGTTGCAAAAAGTGCTATGAATGACAAGACAGAAATTGGAAGGAATTTGCTTCTGATAAATAAGACAGGTGTGAATGGCCTCTTTAGTGACCACATCCATGCCATTAGAGGGAGCTCCAATACGGCTGGGAACCCAGCCAAAATTAATGTCGTATAGCGTGTCTACTCAGGATTAGACATGACTAATTGATTCTGACCACCATAGGATGGGAAAAGTTCAAAAAGACTCAAAGGCAATAAGAGCACTGCAAAAGTCAACTACAATAACCAGTGAACAGTGAGAAATAAATAGTTTCTGCCTTGGAGCATATCAAATTACAGAAAGCTCTTGTTAAAATATTAATCTGGGGGCCAGGTGACAAAAGGTTTGATCAGAAAAGAATAGAAAAACTAGTGCCATCAGCAGATTTTGACCCACCTGTAAGCAGGATGGTAGTGAGGTAATGTATGTGAAAATATACAAGAAAGGTTTATTTCAAAATATTCAAAGGACAGAAGGAAAAGTACAAGAAGCAGGATCCTCTATAGGGGTAAAGTAGGCACAATACATGGGAACACATTGCAGATGTGCACAGGAAGAGGTCAGCAAGCACATAATCCCCAAGCAATAAAAGATTGCAATGGAAAATGAGTAGGGTTGTTATTGGGGGCAGCAGTCATGGTGGAAAGGTAAGGTACATGTAATTATCAGGAAAAAGCACAAAAGCATTATACCTAGACAGTATTTGGAAGGGATATGAGGATACAGATTTAGGATAGGACAGAGGAGAGGAATGGCACCCAACTCCTTGGACAGTCGGGGATTGAACGCCAGACCTACAAGAAGTGAGACCATCATTGTATTTTCCAGTCCTAGTGCTCATGCTCCAGTCATGGTGCAGTACAAGTATGAATAGGGGGAGTATTGTAGGGTCACCATGATGTATTGAAGGCAATATAAATTTCAGCAGTCAGGTAACCCTAGAGCACCAGTTTCTACATTTAGGCTCTTGGATAGGTAGAACAAAAAAGTTCCACATGGGCTTGTGCCTTAACACAGATGTAAAGCATCGAGATGATGATTGGTCAGGGGGGTGAAGCCGACAAATGTTCTGGGTAACCTTAGTCCAGTTTGGATAGTACTAGAAGTATAGTACAGCAAAAAGTGAGGTAGTCTACATAAAGTGCTGAATAAACCCCCATTCAGGATAGAAGAGGGAATACCATTTATTTCAACCAGAAAGAGCACTTACAACACTAGTGTGCGAGGAAGGATGGATCATGTGAGAACAGTGTACAAGATGTCGTAGGGAACAAGGCTCAAGTGCAAGCAATTTGTTAGAAGATAGTGAAATATTTTGCAAGCGCTCACAAGAAGCACTTCACACCTTGTTTTATAAAGTGGTGAAGTACTGCTACGGATGAGTGTTACTTTGTATATGAAACCTTTTCCTATATTGCTTTCCTCCTCTTCTAGGCACAGTGGTAAATAGTAATGATGATGGTGGTACCCAAAAGCAGCTCTTTCTTTCTAATACTATACTGTACAGTACCCATACAGTACTTAATTTATTTTAATTAAATGCATCTTGCAAACATTTGGTTTTGAAAATAAAAGTTATTGATTATTGAAAAAGATATTGAGGTAATCAGTATGTTCGTCAGTTGATTGTCTATAGTAAGTACTACTGTACAATATTCTAAGATGAACTATAAAACAACTTATTTATACACCAAAACCCACTAACCTTTGTATACTTTTCAACACAATTTTGGACGCAGTTGTCTTCGGAACCTCTAATATTTCGAGACGTGAAGTCCCAGACACAGTCATTAAAACAATTTTCACTAAGTTTGTTGTATTGTACAAGGAAATCCCGAAATTGCTTAACTTGTACTTCTGCTTGGATCTGTTCGCTCATTGCTGATATATCCATAGTGGCCATTGTTGCTGTTCCTAAAATGAAGGAGAATGTCAGTAATACAATAAAAAGGCATGTTATTCTGTATATGCCAGAGAGCAAATACGGTGTAATCTCTCTGGGAAATATAAAGTGATATCATATGTACCAGATATTTTTGTGCCCATCATGTCTTATTTCCATTGTCTTACTGTTAGACAATACAGTGAACTAACGAATTCCTGCCACTTTTTATGTATTTAATTTTATTATCGAATAGGAATGATATCTATCTAGCAGCACCATTAGCCAAGCTTATTTTTTTTAACTACTTATGTTGGCTGCCCATGATAAGAAATTGTGATGAAAACTGAAAGGAGCCTTATTTAAGCTATACCTACATAGCGCTATACCTACAAGAGGTCCTGAGGCGCGTTGCGCACCACCCGTCAAACACCTATAGGCACGTTGTGCAGTGCAGTGATCAATACCACCTGACAAAGCCAAAATATGTGGCCATAATAATATTTTAACTATAAAATGATACAGTACAATGGAGTTAGTTATAATGTTTATATATACTGTACAGTAGTGAATATGGTAAACAAAATATTTTTTAAGGCATTATTACAACAGCTTTGGCTTGTTAGTTTCCTAATGAAATAAATATTATGTCATACAGTAATACATGTACTGTGGCAGATGAATAAAAAATGTGATCAGTCTATCGTGTCATATACCAAACAGATTCTATGTTTTGTGCACAAAGAAATCACATTATGTGATGTAACAATGAGAAAATCAAGAGAAGCCATGAGGAGGATTTGAACCTATGCTCTGCATTGACACAACCACCAGGGCTGGCTGTGTCTTGCGAGGACCTTCAAGACTGGTTGCATGTCTTGCTAGGACCACCAGGACTGGTTGCATGTCTAATTAGGACCACCAGGACTGCCTGTGTCTTGCGAGGACCTTCAAGACTGGTTGCATGTCTTGCTAGGACCACCAGGACTGGTTGCATGTCTAATTAGGACCACCAGGACTGCCTGTGTCTTGCGAGGACCTTCAGGACTGGTTGCATGTCTAATTAGGACCACCAGGACTGGTTGCATGTCTAATTAGGACCACCAGGACTGGTTGCATATCTAATTAGGACCACCAGGGCTGGCTGTGTCTTGCGAGGACCTTCAGGACTGGTTGCATGTCTAATTAGGACCACCAGGACTGGTTGCATGTCTGATTAGGACCACCAGGACTGGCCGTGTCTTGCGAGGACCTTCAGGACTGGTTGCATGTCTAATTAGGACCTTCAGGACTGGTTGCATGTCTCATTAGGACCACCAGGACTGGCCGTGTCTTGCGAGGACCTTCAGGACTGGTTGCATGTCTCGAGAGGACCACCAATTAACAAACCCAACCACTTGGATGTGTGGGAAGTGTATAGAAATTCATGGCTAACTAAAAAAAATCTGTAAAAATTGAGCGAGATGAAAAAATCTTCAAACCAAAATGGCATATGCCACTGATGACAGCACAAGCTACACAAATGAACATAGAATGTGTTTTTTTATTTTAAGAAATATCTTTGGATTTAACTGACCTCTATAGGCCGTTGAGGTGCTGCACTGTTTGGACACAATTTAATGACAAAGAAACTTATATCCTGTCTAAAAAACACAAAAAGCAGTCCTAATTCTTATGTTTGCTTGAAGTGCGAGTCACTGATGATATAAATTTGCTTCTGCTATGAATATTTTGTAACCTTGTAAAATCGGTAACTCATTCTGATACTTTCAGTCTTCGGTCACATCAGAAATGGATCAACTGCTACCGACAACTCCCAAATAATGAAATTTGTTTTCTATAATAATTTTGAAAGATAACTGGATGGTTATTATATGCATGATACAGTGGGCTATGTCCTTGGCTCACAATCAGGGGAATCCAGGTTCAGTCCCCAAGCAAAGCAGAAATAGTTGGACACATTTAATTTCACCTGATACCTCTGTTCACCAACAGTAAGATTTGCAGAAGACAGTCTGAAAATTGATGTGGCCAGCAATTTGAAAAAGGTCAGTAGTTAGCCTTGAGGACCTCAAAAAACTTAAGTACAGGCTTCCTGCCCCCCCAACGACGGGAATTATCTAGTCTAGGAAGTTTAAGATCTAAGACAGATGACCATTATTTTGATCACGATATGCACAAAATAAGATATCAATGAAATCTCAGACATCAACATCATATACCTTTTTCGTCTCAAGTCAACGTGATAGCTTAACAATATTTATGAGTAAAAACTCACACACCGTATATGTTGTTGTTGGTTGTGAGGCGAGGAACACACCGTGTAGGAAACGATGAAGCGAAGCAGACGAAACTCACATGGAATAAGGAAAGTTGTTTATAGGCTCAGTTGCATACTCGGGGTTCATGAGACTCGAGCCATTGCCAGCCAAAGATTACAAGAAACGAGTCAACACTGGCGAGCCGCATACAAGAATCCATTACGTTCGGCGATCTAAATAACCGGATTGAATCTCTGAATCTAAAGAATCCGGCGCACAATACCACGTGTACCCGTTAAAAAAAAATGGTGGCTTTAGGATTTAGACCTGCGTTAGAATTCTGTAGATTTATTTATTGTTCGAATAAATCTGAAAGCCCTTTTTAGATTTAGTTCATATATATATATATATATATATATATATATATATATATATATATATATATATATATATATATATATATATATATATATATATATATATATATATATATATATATATATATATATATATATATATATATATATATATATATATATATATATATATATATATATATATATATATATATATATATATATATATATATATATATATATATATATATATATATATATATATATATATATATATATATATATATATATATATATATATATATATATATATATATATATATATATATATATATATATATATATATATATATATATATATATATATATATATATATATATATATATATATATATATATATATATATATATATATATATATATATATATATATATATATATATATATATATATATATATATATATATATATATATATATATATATATATATATATATATATATATATATATATATATATATATATATATATATATATATATATATATATATATATATATATATATATATATATATATATATATATGTATATATATATATATATATATATATATATATATATATATATATATATATATATATATATATATATATATATATATATATATATATATATATATATATATATATATATATATATATATATATATATATATATATATATATATATATATATGTATATATATATATATATATATATATATATATATATATATATATATATATATATATATATATATATATATAAATAAATATATAAAATAGGTTTAGACACTGCAGAGGTCACGACCTCTCCGTAGGGTGCAGTCGCACCTCTACAGATCTCCAGTATCAGCTATTGATACTGGTAATGACTCCAAAGGGCCACCACTTACGGGCTATTCATGCCCGTGCCACCTTTTGAGTGGCTTAAGGTTCATCAATCAGACACTGAATCCTGGTTTACGGGCTATTCATGCCCTTGCCACCTCTTGGGTGGCTTAGTCTTCATCAATCAATCTGAACCTGGTCTACCCTGAACCCATCAGCTCCATGACTGGTACAGCCAGCTCTACGAGGCTGAAATCCACCATGAAAACCCCCATCCATCCACAGCTCCCTAGTATTAGCTATTGGTACTGGTAATGGCGCGAGAGAGCCTCCGCTTACGGGCTATTCATGCCTGTGCTACCTTTAGGGTGGCTTAATCTCTATCAATCATTGAACCCCGGCACATCTGAGCCAGGTGAGTACGACGGGCTCCGGACCATAAACAAGTCGTCAGAGTTTACTGTTGGTCTGATGTATTCCAGCAGGTGGTACAAACTCCAAGAGTTTGGAGTTACCATCTCAACTCTCATCACTACCATCTCTAGTGGCCTCGACGGAAACAGAGAGAGTGAGTGAGAGTGAGATAGATAGATAGATAGATATAGATATATATATATATATATATATATATATATATATATATATATATGTCGTACCTAGTAGCCAGAACGCACTTCTCAACCTACTATGCAAGGCACGATTTGCCTAATAAGCCAAGTTTTCCTGAATTAATATATTTTCTCTATTTTTTTTCTTATGAAATGATAAAGCTAACCATTTCATTATGTATGAGGTTAATTTTTTTTATTGGAGTTAAAATTAACGTAGATATATGACCGAACCTAACCAACCCTACCTAACCTAACCTAACCTATCTTTATAGGTTAGGTTAGGTTAGGTAGCCGAAAAAGTTAGGTTAGGTTAGGTTAGGTAGGTTAGGTAGTCGAAAAACAATTAATTCATGAAAACTTGGCTTATTAGGCAAATCGGGCCTTGCATAGTAGGCCGAGAAGTGCGTTCTGGCTACTAGGTACGACATATATATATATATATATATATATATATATATATATATATATATATATATATATATATATATATATATATATATATATATATAGATAGATAGATTAAGCCACCCAAAAGGTGGCATGGGCATGAATAGCCCATAAGTGGTGGCCCTTTTGAGCCATTTCCAGTATCAATAGATGATACTGGAGATCTGTGGAGGTGCGACTGAACCCTGCGTGACGGGAGATGTCTCCCGTGGACGGAAACAAAGCCGACGGCTTGTTATATGTCCCTCTCATTATTCCTGAGGATTTTCTCCAGATGAATTTTAAACTGAAGTAACGTACAGTATTATTAAATTGACATTTACGACTTTGGTGGGGCGGTGATTCCAGTTTTAATTTCTTGTCGCTGAAAAAGCATCTCCTGTTTTTAGTCAAACATTGTGGCTTGTTGAGGTTGAAGCAGTTGCCCCGTGTATGTGTTACATTTAACCTTCTAAGAAGTGGCCTGTGTTAATACCCTCCAATTTGTTTAGTGTTAAGTAAGCGATTATCAAAAGAATAAGTATTTTAAAGGCTTTAAGGGTCTCTGAGATCAGCCTTATCTCATCTTTTTGCAATGTTATTAGTCCTATGGCTCTTAACCTTTCCTGGTATGAGAGTCGAATTAGTTCTGGAATGTTTTTTGTAACGCTGTTGAACTTTCTCCAAAGCAGACATGTCCTTTTGAAGGTAGTTTCCATGCTTGGATATAAAATGCACCCTCATCTGAGGGTGTAGCCTAGACAGGGGTGCACCGAACTTGTACAACCCAATAAACTGTACTTTCCTAGTGTTGAAATCAACCGTTTGATTAGTCCTAAGGTTTGGTTATCTTATTTTAGGGTTTGGCCAATAAGGAGCAGGCCAGCACTCCATTAAGTGTCCACAAGTTAAGCATGTATGGCCAATACGCAACCTTACCAGAGCCGTTTCCCACCGCCGGTTACGGTGATAGGAGGAAGGCCACGGACACACTACTCTTTGAGAGTATGCCGTTTGTTACCAGTATTCCTGAAGACAAACTATACTGTACCTAGGAGTGTGGAAAGGAAGGATGGGGAGAGATGGGGATTAAGGGAGGAGAAACAATGGCACAGCTTTAGCTTGTATACAGTAAAATGTAATAACCATTCTCTAATACACTCGACAAATAAAACTCAAGAACCATACCTTAAGCTTTTATTATATGCACTTACATCGATTCTCACAGCTTTCTGGTAATCTCTCATTTAACACACACACACACACACACACATACAAAATCCAGCCTTCACCCAATCCTATGTTCAATCACACAATTTGCTTAAAAAAAAAATTCCATTTAAATATATGTTAATACTCTGACTTTGTAACTGCATTCTAAATATGGCCCCGTTTCTAGATGGTATCTGTGCTGCTGATAATCAAATTTTTCAAATTATAAAATGAGTGTAATGAAATTACTTAATATCTTAATTTTGTTTAGGGTATCTCTCAAACAAAATGTCACCATTCATAATTACTACTTGGGATACAATAATTCACATAAATACAAGTAAGTAATATTCCACCGTTTATCTGATGTCTACATACATTAGGCCTTTCTCTAAATAGTTTTTATAAAGAAAAATATATATATAGCAAAAATACCAATTTATCGAATTTAAACAAATAATACTGGTACTGTACATTAATCTGCACAATGTGAATGAAATTTCAAATAGAAGTATACACCACAGGCAATAGGAAATCTTAAAAATTCTTTTCCATACTTCATATGTGCAGCACAAACTACGACATTCACTATTCAGTGCAGTAAATGCCACTTTCTAAAGATAGCAAAATATTCATAGAAAAATTAAACTATGCATCTAAGATGCCTTTCTTGCATTAATCTGAATAATAATTATGCTAAACATTAATTAAAATGGAGTTTCCTCAATGAAAGGAGTAGAGCAATAACTGCCGATTGTGTTCAGAAATACACCATGTGGGAACAAGAACTTTACTGTGGATGAGAATATTTTAGAAAGCTTGTGAGCAAACCATAATCTACAAAAGTACTGTACGCACACAGTATTTTTGTAAATCTTTGAGGATAACATTCAGAAAGCAGGTACCACAAATTTATACAACCTTCTCAACTGCCTTTACTCAATAAGCTTTCATCAAATTTAAAAATCACCCTAATTTGTCTGAGTTTCATAGAAGTCTTAATAATTCTTGGCCTATCTATCCTTGCTTCATTCACCAATACAAAAAAAATACTGCTTACAATTATGTTGTATTAATAAAAACACATTGACATTTAGTTATCAATTAATAATTCAGTACTCCACTCGCGTGCTTCCAGCACCCACACCTCAAGGAGTCAAGATCTTAAGATACAATAATATGTAATATCAAACAGTGAAAAAAAAAATTCTCAGAGATTACACTTAAATGACAGGGGGTCAAAACTATTGAAAATAAATAAGTACACCTCATGAAATTAACGTAGGAAACTTAAAAATGATGGTCACTGTACTCCCTGCGTACACACAAACCTATTATACAAAAATATATCTTGATTTAACCAATAGTTCAAGTGATTTAATCAAAATACAAATATTTGTGTAGCACTGCAAGCCCCTCAATAAATCATTTTGATTTATTAAAGAGCAATTTACAAATACAGTTCAGGAAAGGATAGCATGCTCTGTAATCAATGAAGTCACAAATAAAGACTTCAGAGCATTTGTGCAATTAAATTAGTAAACAATAATTAACTTAAATTTTCCAGTCCAACACTTGCAATGCCTTAAGACCTACTGATAAAGAGGTCAAGTTATAGATCATTCATTGGGCATACATCTACTCATAAAAAAATAAACATTTGGCAGCAAACCCCACAAATGGTATTTTTGTGCCAGTCAGAAGACTCCACATCCCTATGACTGATTACTGTGACAAGGATGGGACTCTCAGGAATATGTGCTCTCAGTCACTTTACTTCCCATTTCATCCTCATTTATCTTTCTTCCCAGACTTCTTATCCTCGGTAGTTTCACCTTCTTCCTTTTCTTCTATAGTAGGATGATCCTCATACCTGTGAATGAATATAATTTCTGCTGTATATGCAAAAACAAGGACTCTAAAACACGAGTAATCACACTAAAGTGACTGCATCAGTGAGAAAATCAGAAGGAGCCGTGATGAGGGTTCAAACCTATGTGGCGGATGTTCTCACGTGCACATGCTAGCAACTAAACTATGACATGGTCAAAAGGATTGCAACCTGGAGTTCTACTGAGCTCAAGGGATTCCAGAGACTTCTACTGAAGCCAGACCAGGATTTTTCATAGAATCCTCCCATGCACTCTGGCTGTCAAGGCATGTTCTACCTCTGACACTCCTCTTTCAATACACAGTAATCACACTAACGTGACTGCATCAATGAGCAAATCCGTAGGAGCCGTGAAGAGTGTTAGAGTGATGACTGTGTATTGAAAGAGGAGCATCAGAGGTAGAACATGTCTAGATGACAGAGCCAGAGTGCATAGGGGGATCATATGAAAAATCCTGGTCTGGCTTCAGTAGAAGTCTCAGGAAACCCTTGCGAGCTCAGTAAAACCCCAGATTGCAATCCTTTTACCATGTCGTAGTCTAGTCGCTAGCGTGTGTGTATGGGAACACCCACCGCATAGGTTTGAACCCTCATCACGGCACCTACGAATATTCTCTGCAGTAAATGCTAACGTATCCAATCGTACAGTCATGTTACCTGTTAACCCCCCCTTTCCCTGCCCCCCCCCCACCTAAGATTCACATTGTGTCCAACTCAAGCAACTTCTGCAGATATAGCAAAGTAAGATTTATGTAGTCAAGTTAGTAACCAAAAATTGAAAACCAAATAGGTTACAAACTAAGAAATTAAGGGCCTTGATATTAAATATCCTACAATCACGTACTGTATTCAATTTTTTGTAAAGCTGGTGGCATGGTACAGGTTTCACAATATTCCACAGCAAATAAAAAAATACCACAACTTGTTTACATTGTCTAAATACATGTTGCCTGGACACACTTCTCCAAGAAATGGCAATAAGAATTAATGCACTATTGCCAAGAAAAAATATCTATTCATCTACATAATAAAACCTTAGTTTCCTTGCAAATAAACTGCACATTACATGGGATTAAACCATAGTTGATTGTCATAACATACAAAGAACCCAGTCTTCACCTAATCCTACACTTGTCACAAATTAAAAAAGTAAAGTACAATTTAAAATGAATTACAAAAGTAACAAAATTGTATTAGAAAGTGTTAAGCATCCGTAAAAAAATGCACAAGTTATGGATATCAATAGAAACTGCCTTTGCAAGAGAAAAGACCTATGATTCCTTTATTATGAAAAGCACTATAACAATCTTTGTAACTCACTGCATCAGAGCTTTCATGTCGCCCTTGAGGAGAGCCAGAAGAATTGGCGCAGAGAGGCAGGCTGGCACAAGGTACAAGAGGGCTGGCTGGGCATGTTTGAACACATGCATCACAAAGATTGTCATCATAAGGCCAGCAAAATAGGCTGCAAATGTAATCTTGAAGTATGTGTTCGATCCTCGGTTTAAACTGAAAACAAATCGCTAACATTAAATATTATTCAAATTATTTTAAACTAAAAATGCTTAATGACTGAATGAATTAACATTGATAATGCTGTTGATTAAATGATACTTGAGCATGTTCCTCCCGCTTAGAGAGAACTCTTACCTATGATCAAAACGGAGTAAGAGGGCAATAAATATGCCAGGAATAACAATGTCTCCCAATCCCAGCATGGCAAAATTGTCAGCCTCCAGGCCCTTCTCCAATAAGTCTTGAGGAAACACCACTGGAAGGGAAACCAAAGCATTCTGAAGGTTAAATGCAAATTAAAGTTCTATTTGACACAGGAAAATGTATCATTCATAATGTTGGTACAGGTTAAAAGTACAGTAAGCAATATTTACCCAAGTGGCATTCCCCAGTAAACATTAATGAAAACACACTGATCAAATATTTAATAAATACCCTTGACATAACTGCTGAAAGCAACTGCACAGAATGAGAGAATTGAAACTTCTGTAATTGTTCAAACATTTAAATGATGCTACAAATTTAACCCTTAGACTAAATAAGGAATTATCTTGTCTTGGCAATATTAAGTCAACCCTGCACAAGTAGGTCCGAAGCATTTTAATACCAGGTTACTTACATAAATCAGATTATTAAGGGTTATATACCTTTGCTGTCAATATATGGCTCTAAAGCTCAAATGAGGTAAGGAGTGGTAATTATAATGTGAAATGGCAATTATCAAGAAAAAGTGCTAAGGCAATATGACTATACTCTAGCACTTTGTATACAAGGACAAGGGAATGGAACAGGAGGGGATATATATATTCCCAAACAGAGCTAAGCATTTTAATTTTGAGTACACAAAGTCATATAGGATTATTAAAAGCAAGAAAGCAAGTTAATCTTAAGACTAGACAAATCCAGTTAATAACAACACTTTCGGTACATAAGGGCTTCTCTCTTCCCCATGGATAATTATCTTCACCTATATTTTTAATTTCATAGAGAGCCACCTTTTAATTCTTGCGTTTCCCCAGAATGCATTTGTTCTCCATAATTTCTATCGTCCTACTTGATAGTTACTGTAGAAATGTGCCCCATTTTCAAGTATAGTTCAATACATGTTTAATGGAATATTTTTGTCCAACTATTATGAGGTCAATAAATGCCTTTGCTGGAGCAGTTTAACACAAGTGTACCACCTGATCCAAGGAATACACAATACTGTATGTTGACCTTTAAATTTAAACAAGTTTTAAAATGACCTTGAACAACTTACATTTGATAGGAGCTTCAAATGATCTTGCTACAGTGACCATAACATTGGTTCCGAAGACCCAGAAAACATCATATACAAAAAGCCCCGCTAAAAGAAGAGCCCCAGTCTGGATGTTATTCAGGTGTAGAAGCTCCACACCATTGATGGCAAATGCAAGCCCAAGAAGATTGTTTGCAATCCAATGCTGGAAAGAAAAGTTTAATTCAAATGGCTTGTAGATCTCAAACACATGGCAAAAAGCAAAATTTGAAACCCTATAGTATTTCCATTACATGCAAGTATAGTCTTTTCAAATAGGCACTAATAAAAATCAAAAGATTTTTTTTTAAATATTGATCTTCAGCCATTATATTTAATAATACAAGTACAAGAAATTAAGGAACCAGTTATGGAATATAAATGCTTGCCTTCTTCAAGAGGTACCACACACCAAGCAAGGCACACACGCCCATGCACACCAGATCATAAGACGTAAACCCATAATTTATGAGGTAGTCTTTTTTGTCCTTATCGCCTTTCATTAAGTGAAGGTGGTATGTCTCGAAAGGTACTGAGGCCGGTACTAGGCCAGAGATAACTGGGCTGAAACAAAAATAAAACTTAGATCTTAACTGCATTTTTTTTAACAACTTATTTCTGGTTTGCTACCTTATAAAATACATTATGATTTTTTGACAAATACAACAATTGCAGAAATCCACTGCAAAATTATACATGCATAACAATGTAGCTATAATAAATTAAGAAGCTTTAAAGCTAAAGTCTTGTAAATACCATATTAGTTTCTCACAATTAGACTAGAGAAGTAATGTATGTGAAGATTTTTAATCTAAGCTGAATTCACTAAAAATTGTGAGTACCGTACTGTATACTGTAGTTATCTGTAATATGATTACTTACCCGAAGACATGAGACAAGGCCAGAACACCCAGAACAAAGAAATATGAAGATAGGAGGAGGTTGATATATTCCTTGGAGAAAACCTGAAAAAATTGAGGCAAAGGTACATAATCATTTATTAAATAATGATAGAAGATTGAACAAATGTGGAAGAGGGGTAAATTTATAATGTTCTTAATGGGAAAACAGGAGAGCATGGCTAAATGTATAGTTAGTTCAAATTGATTGAAAATTAACAAGCCATAAAGTGATAAAACTTATTAAACCGAGTTAATGGTCTGGCAAAGGAGACAATTAAAATAAAATGTGCTTTTACAGTATCACTAGAACTAGATGTATAGAAAAGGAAATGTTCTTGCACCACCTCCATGAATTTCTTAAAACTATTGGCACATGTTAACGTAATCATTATTTAGTGGTGACATGACAGCCTATGCGGTACATGACTCGGTTATGCAAGCCTGAGAATTTGGAGACACTAATTGAATACACATTCAGTACAGTATGTGGATTTTTACTGACAATCCAACTGGTACCTATATTACAATACTATTTATTTCCTTGAGAATTAACATTTGGTCCCCCAATACATTCTAAGACATACCGTGAAGACGATGTAGAGGCCAAAAAGTGCACATGATGCTATTACAGGGAACATGGCTGCATCCTTTGAAGTCATTGTGTCAACTTTCTCTCCAGACGCCTGCAATGATTAACTATTGTACACCTTATCTGTGCATTGCTATAGTACTGTAACTCGTTTATAAATACCCATATGGTATTTAAAAAAATCAGTTAACAGTAGTAGTAGTTTTTTAATAATGAAAGGCAGAGACATTATATAATCTGTAGTTTTAGCAACAGTACACCAAATAGACATAGTACAGTACATGTATTTAACATTAGCAATAACAGTAAAAACTAAATATTTACACAAGTGTATATACTGTACAGTGGCACCTCGACTTGCGATAATTTAGAGTTACGATATAAATTTGGTCGGAAAATGGGACTACTTATGATAGTGTCGTCGACTAACGATATTTGTTGATACACGTTCGGGTTGAACAAGCGCATGGTTCCCGGTTGAGCGGGCCAACCTGCCTCAATTTACTAGAGCCGCCTGCTTAGTGACGATCATGCTTATAAGAAATTCTATTTTTTTCTTTTTGCTTTTTGAACATAAAACTGATTATTATATATCACGCCATGGGTCCCAAAAAAGTCAGTGGCAAGGTTCAACATATGAAAACATGTGAGGATGACCATAGAGGCAGTACAGAATATCTTTCTCAAAAAGTAAGAAAATGTGTGCAGCATGGGAAGAACTATAAAGTTTTGCCGAAACGACTCGCCCAAATCAAGCTGCAGTAGGCTGTTGCCTTAACCTTTTCAATGACACTGATGCATCACTACAGACAAATGTTAAAATGAAGGGAAAAACAAGTGTTGCTAGACAAATTTGTAGTGAGACAAACTAGCAGTGAACCACAACCAGGTCCTAGTGGTATGCAGGCAAAATGTAGGAGTGTACCTCAGAGAAATCATCACTGCCTGATGTTACAATGGAACAAACAAACAACCTTTCCAAACAGTAACACCTCTCCTCCCCCCTCCTCACTATCTTCCATACGCCAACAGGAGTCCTCAGTAAAGGTAAGTAATAACTTGTACATACTTTTGTAATGAAGATTTGGGTGAATTAGGTATAAAATTTACTTTGAGGTTAATTTTTTGGGGAGTCAGGAATGGATTAATTAATTTCCCTTTATTTCTAATGGGAAAAATTGTTTCGACTTATGATACGTCTCTGGGAACGGATTACCATCGTAAATCGAGGCCCCACTGTATATTTAAACCATTAGAACACAAAGCATTTTGAGCATAAACTTAAAATCAGTTAAATTACTGATAGGTTAATATATATATATATATGACTAGAATAAGTAATTTAGCAAATGACTCCTGTACAAAAATTAGGTGGCAATGATGAAAGGCATAGCTATGTATTTTTAGTAAGTAAAATTTACAATAGGATTTTTTTTTTTTTTGTTTGAACGAGGACATGGAAGTGAAATTTGTTACACGTTATATATGTATTTTAGTTTTTCTTTTAAAATGGGTAGGAGACTTATAGCCTTTAATCACATTTTGGAAGTCATTCCATAATTTGGCTTTGATCTGAATATCAAATAGATATTAGTTTCCAGTATGGTGTCTAAGGGTTCTGTTGCAACCCTCTATGAAACGTTAGAGGCAAGTATTAGAATTGCAATTCAAAGATTTGCAGATAGAGAACATTAGAGACTATGTGAAGAGACTTGATATTCATATTCAAGGATTCCAGTAAGGGTGTTGAATTCTGTCTGGGATTGGAACAGTAGTTTTTAGTCTGGAACTACTGGAAAACTACTGGATTTTTTTTAGTCTTATTTTAGAACAGTAGTTTGGGATTTCAATTCAGAATCATTCTGATTGCTGATTTATGTTGAGTAATAAAGGGTCCTTGAGGAGCTTCAGTTAATTTTGGGGTGTAGATCCCCAAGCACAGATACCGTGGGAGATATATGAATCCATGTGATACATGAGTCACAGACACAGCCAACCCAGCCCCTCCATACACGGGCAGCTGCCTCCCCCCCCCCCCAAATGGACAACCTCAAAGATTAATCCCATACAAATATTGAACATGAGAAACCTGAGCAATCTTGGGCAATGCCCCAGACACTAGACCATCCCCACACGAGCCGCCGCGCCTCTAACATACCTAACCATATTATACACCACATAGTAATGTATTTCTACACAAACGTTTCGTGCATAAATTGTGTTCTAATTATGACTTATTAGGTAAGGCAGAATAGGGTTGTACTAGGCTAGGTGTGACTGGGTTAAGCTAGGCTGAATTGGGGTTAAGCTAGGCTGAATTGGGGTTAAGCTAGGCTAGGCTGAATTGGGGTTAAGCTAGGCTAGGCTGAATTGGGATTAGGCTAGGCTAGGCTGAATTGGGGTTAGGCTAGGCTAGGCTGAATTGGGGTTAGGCTAGGCTAGGCTGAATTGGGGTTAGGCTAGGCTGAATTGGGGTTAGACTAGGCTAGGCTGAATTGGGATTAGGCTAGGCTAGGCTGAATTGGGATTAGGCTAGGCTAGGCTGAATTGGGGTTAGGCTAGGCTAGGCTGAATTGGGGTTAGGCTAGGCTAGGCTGTATTGGGGTTAGGCTAGGCTAGGTAAGGCCAAGCAGGTTGTAATAAAAAAAAATAAGGTAGTGAACCATCTTGTGTACATAACAAATCCTACGCCTACCCGGCGCCGTAGGCCTAAACATGCGTCACGGTGAACCAGCTGTTGAGATCGTTACCTTCTGCTGCTGCTGATGCTTCACAGAGCGGAAGGAGCCGCAGAATATGGGGATCAGGGCCATAACCACCAGGCTGCCGTAGGCCAGGGCCATGCCCTCGGGCGTGGAGGGCACCTTGCCCGTGCCATTGATGGCCGCCTCGGTCACGTTCTCTAAAATTGGTGCAACCACCGGGCCGTCGACTCCTGCGTCCGCCATCACTGCTCGTCTGTCACTCTCTAGCCCTCCCCCGGGGCCAGCCCTCGCCGCTTATATTACTCCCCGCCTCCCTCATATACCTCATATATACCTTCCAGAATTATTGGAACAGATGCGCTAGGCATAATAGCGGTGTATATCCGCTGGTAAGCGAGTAAGTGTTGAAGTGTGTGTCAAGAGGAGAGTTTGTGAAGGTGTACCACCGGAGCAGACGACGACGTGTCATAACCCAAACCTTTCCCGGGAATTTTATTGCTGAAAGTAATTGTTGGCGGGTAATTTGTATGTCACTTTTGATGTTAGTGCATTACCGTAGCTGGTATTTGCTTGGGGGGTTGAGTTCTTGTGCCGTTATGTGCTTCTATAACTCTTTCTCCCCACCGCTCATAGGATGTTAAGTACTTGGCCAGTTTGTTGAATCTAATGAACCCACACCTGAGGACCGTATTCACCAACATAAAGCCTGAATTTACCAGAGGCTCACTAAACTCTGGTGGCCTCGACGAGGACAGGCTGCGGGCGGCTTGTCAAAGGGTCCCCCATTTGCCTTGATTTTTTTCCAGCTGGATTTTAACATTCAGCAGAGTTGTGGCCTTTACGGCTTCGGCGAGTAGGTGAAACCCGCCGAAACATACCCACACCTGAGGACTGTCCTCACCCACACCTGAGGACCGTCCTCACCCACACCTGAGGACCGTCCTCACCGACACCTGAGGAGCGTCCTCTCACACACAACAGCCACACCTGAGTACCATCCACAGAAGATAATAATGCAAAACAAGAACAAGGTAAAGAAGCAGCAGCAGGGACGGAAACACCCTCCTGATACTCTGGGTTGGCACTCGTTCTTGTGCGTCACAAAGTGCGGCAACCCCGCCCACATCCTGAAATGGAAGGGCAGGACCAGCAGGGACGTCCTGCAGTCCTGGTGCAGCCTTCGGGGGCAGAGGACATCGGAGCCGGGTCCCGTGCACTTGATCATCCAGGGAGGACCCCAGCCAGACCAGGATGGCCCAGTGGACGCGGTGGTGGTGGTGTCTGATAGTGGTCACTGCAGACGCGGGCCTCGCCAGCGGTGTGGAGGGTAAGATACAGCTCCTTCTTTCCTTCTTTCCTCCTACTTCAATTCCCTCTCGGTTCTGGGACCAGTCTTAGTTGTGTGCCTAATTTGTTTCTATTGTGGACCCTACAGTGGATTCCGAAACTGTATCTCAGATATATCTTAGTCAGCTATAGTGACGTGAACTAGTTACAAAAGAGATGATAACACAAATTTTGCTCTTCAAGGTATACAGTTTACGCAGATTTACATAATTGCTTAAGGAACAAAACCCCAATATTTGTTTAATTAAGAAAGGTACAGTGATGGTAGTTACATAATGTATGTTTATGTAGGTTAGCAGGCATAGCTGAGGCGTTCATGGTACACAATATTTTCAGTATGGTGAACGTAAATTAGTTCCATACCCGGACCGCAGTGGTCTTTTAACACAACAAAGTTAACACAGCAAAGACCTACAGGCAGAGACACATAAACAGAGAACTGGAGAGAAAAGCTAACAGACACAGATAGTGTTTATCTTGGGTAAGACACGTAATTTCCTTTTAAATATACATTAAGCTTTATCATGATATGCATTAACTAAAGGTTAAACGTCCGTCGGTCCGGGGACATTCACCTATTTGTGCCTGCAGATTCAAGCTTTAGTTCTTGGGCCCCACCTCTCTCCCCCTCACTGATTGTCTACTGGAATGACTCCCGAACTATTTTTTGATCATATCTACTGTAGAAATCATGAAAAAGAGTTCGGTTATATAACCTGTTCATTTAGTTCATTCTTTTTTTCTACCACTATCACGCAAAATGAATACTTCATAACATCTCTTTTTCCATTCTGTCAATCACCCTGAATATTTTGTCTATCATGTCTCACTCGACGTTTCTATTTTATAATGACAATAGATGCAACTCTTTCAGTCTTTCTTCATGTCCCATTCCTCGCAATTCTGGGACGAGTCTCGCTGCAAACCTCTGAACCTTGTCAAGATTTTGTTGTTGTTGTTAGTGATATGGGCCTTCAGGAGGGAGCAGCATATTATAGGACTGGTGCCACATAAATAGTGTGTAGTGATCTAAATACCTCCTCATTTAGGCTCAAAATCAAAATCAAAATTTGCATTCAGGTAAACGTACATACATAGATGATGAGTTACAAACATAATGATTGGATTTATAGATAGAGCTAGTACATACAATACATAAAGCCACTAATTCGCATAGCGTTTCGGGCAAGGTGAGGGAAAAAAACACTTAAGACTAAAACTTAATAGTAATTGAGATTAAAGTATAAAGTGTTTTGAAACAAACAGCATTGTTTAAAATAGCAAGACATGGGTTGACATTTAGGGGGTAGGGAAGGATTACATGGAGTTAATTAGGTACTACTTAGTTTTACACTTAAACTGGTTGAGAGAAGTACAGCATTTGACATGATTTGGAATGTTATTTCACATTCTGGGTCCCTTGATTTGTAGAGCATTTCTAGTTTGGTTGAGTCGCACTCTTGGAATATCAAATAGGTATTTGTTTCTGGTGTGTGGTGCCCATGGGTTCTGTTACAACCTTCTAGGAAGCTTATAAGGTCAGGATTGACATTACAGTTCAGAGTTTTAAATATATAGAGTACACATGAGAGAATGTGCAGTGACTTAGTGACTGAAACAGTCACTCAGTGCTGGTACCGAGTACCGAGCTCCTGAGTGATGTTCTGGCTTTTGACCGTTGTTGTTGTTGTTGTTTTAGATTCAGCTACTTAGAACAAAAGTTCCAAAGTAGCACGGGCTATGGTGAGCCCGTAGTGGACTTACCTGGCACAGGAGCGGGGCTGTAACTGGCTTTTGCGCGTGTAGTTGGTCTTTATATGTCCAGTCCCAGGTCTGTTTGTCTAGTTGTTACACTGGGGTCTTGAGAGTACCCTTGGGGGTTCGTTCTTGACTCACAATGGGGACTCTAAGGTTCAAATTCCGGGCGGCGGAACAGAAATGGTTGGCCACATGTCCGATCACCTAATGCCTCTGTTCACTTAATAGTAAATAGGTACCCGACAATTAATCGACTGTTGTGGGGTTGCATTCTGGAGAGGGTCAGTTGGTCGACCTTGGGGTGACCTTGATATAAGCCTAATATTTATACATACACAAGCTGCCTGTCCCGAACAAAACGAAATATTTAATCATTATTTGAGAGAGGAAAGGGTAGAGCGCGGGAATGGAGTGGGGGGAAAGGGGGGAAAAGGGGGAGAGAGGGAAAAGAAGAGGGGTGAAATGGGGGCTAGCAGGGGGGGGGGGGGGCAGAATATCCCGGGCACCACCGGGTACCCCCTCCTAGTACATATATAAATAATTACTAGGGTCAGTGCCGGATTTAGGCATAAGCTAAACAAGATACAGCTCAGGGCCTCACAGTCCGCCGGCGCCTCACAACATATATATATATATATATATATATATATATATATATATATATATATATATATATATATATATATATATATATATATATATATATATGTCGTACCTAGTAGCCAGAACGCACTTCTCAGCCTAATATGCAAGGCCCAATTTGCCTAATAAGCCAAGTTTTCATGAATTAATGTTTTTTCGACTGCCTAACCTACCTAACCTAACCTAACTTTTTCGGCTACCTAACCTAACCTAACCTAGAAAGATAGGTTAGGTTAGGTTAGGTAGGGTTGGTTAGGTTCGGTCATATATCTACCTTAATTTTAACTCCAATAAAAAAAAATGACCTGATACATAATGAAATGGGTAGCTTTATCATTTTATAAGAAAAAAAATTGAGAAAATATATTAATTCAGGAAAATTTGGCTTATTAGGCAAATCGGGCCTTGCATAGTAGGCTGAGAAGTGCGTTCTGGCTACTAGGTACGACATATATATATATATATATATATATATATATATATATATATATATATATATATATATATATATATATATATTAGTGTATTTTGGTAGCAGTCTTTCCTGTAGACATATATTATTAAATATGACCGAAAAAGTAAGATTAATAATTCTAACACGAATTTTCTCGATCTTTCTTACGTTTCTTTTCACTGTGGATGGTAATTCAAAGATCAATTCTCCAAAATTCATTTTTATTTCTAGTCTTCTTCATATATATATGAAGATAGTGAGTGGTAGTGAGGATGGGAGGTACCCCGGAGAGTGGAGTGTGGTGGTACTGAGCGAATACGATATGAAATGTCACTTAAAATATTTTTTACCACATTTCCTGCAGTATTTTCCGTCCTCTTTTCTTGATTTTGCACCAGCTGTGATGAGTATACCGTATACCTCGTACTAGCTGCGCTGAGTATACCGTATACGTTGGACAAGCTGCGCTGAGTATACCGTATACCTCGTACCAGCTGTGCTAAGTATACCATATACATTGTACCAGCTGTGTTAAGTATACCGTATATCTTGTTCCAGCTGCGTTGAGTATACCATATACCTTGGACCAGCTGTGTTAAGTATACCATATACCATATATCAACTGTAAGAGTTTACCGTATAGCTTGTAATGGTTGTGTTAAGCATATCGTATATCATATAATTGCTGTGCTGAGTATACTGCACAGTTTACACTTGCTGTATTGGGTATACAGGACGAAAGGTATATGTTGTGTCGGTTACATTTAAGTGTGAGTGTCTACCATGTACCGGTGAGCATGTACCATCGACCTGGTCTGTACCGGGGAGTGTACCGTCGACCTGGTCTGTACCGGGGAGCGTGTACCGTCGACCTGGTCTGTACCGGGGAGCGTGTACCGTCGACCTGGTCTGTACCGGGGAGCGTGTACCGTCGACCTGGTCTGTACCGGGGAGCATGTACCGTCGACCTGGTCTGTACCGGGGAGCGTGTACCGTCGACCTGGTCTGTACCGGGGAGCATGTACCGTCGACCTGGTCTGTACCGGGGAGCGTGTACCGTCGACCTGGTCTGTACCGGGGAGCGTGTACCATCGACCTGGTCTGTACCGGGGAGCGTGTACCGTCGACCTGGTCTGTACCGGGGAGCGTGTACCGTCAACCTGGTCTGTACCGGGGAGCGTGTACCGTCGACCTGGTCTGTACCGGGGAGCGTGTACCGTCGACCTGGTCTGTACCGGGGAGCGTGTACCATCGACCTGGTCTGTACCGGGGAGCGTGTACCGTCGACCTGGTCTGTACCGGGGAGCGTGTACCGTCGACCTGGTCTGTACCGGAGACCTGCATGGGGACGTCTGCATTGCCTGTACCGGAAAGATAGCTTTCATCTACTCTGACGTTTATAACCAACAGAGTGCATTAAATACAACAATAACCAGTACACCAAGTATAGTGCATAACCAACTCTCTTGGTTATAACGGTAAACTCAGAGCGTCGCAGCGATGCACGTCTCATTACCACTATCTAGGTGAGTCTACCTTGGCTATCCTGGCGAGGGTATACGTGTAGAGTTGGTAACATTGTGGGCACATGTTTGTATACGAGTTTACATAAGTTATGCTACGGTGCGTGAGGGGGTTTGCATCCTGTGCGTGTGTTAGAGGTGTTAGGAAGCCGTCATGATAGCAGTATCTCCTTGCCATGATCACAGCACCGGGCGTGGTATAGCCAACACCGGGCGTGGTATAGCCAACACCGGGCGTGGTATAGCCAACACCGGGCGTGGTATAGCCAACACCGGGCGTGGTATAGCCAACACCGGGCGTGGTATAGCCAACACCGGGCGTGGTATAGCCAACACCGGGCGTGGTATAGCCAACACTGGGCGTGGTATAGCCAACACCGGGCGTGGTATAGCCAACACCGGGCGTGGTATAGCCAACACCGGGCGTGGTATAGCCAACACCGGGCGTGGTATAGCCAACACCGGGCGTGGTATAGCCAACACCGGGCGTGGTATAGCCAACACCGGGCGTGGTATAGCCAACACCGGGCGTGGTATAGCCAGCACCGGGCGTGGTATAGCCAACACCGGGCGTGGTATAGCCAGCACCGGGCGTGGTATAGCCAACACCGGGCGTGGTATAGCCAGCACCGGGCGTGGTATAGCCAACACCGGGTGTGGTATAGCCAACACCGGGCGTGGTATAGCCAACACCGGGTGTGGTATAGCCAACACCGGCTGTGGCGTCCATTCGCCAGTGCTGAATGGTGGCTCTCTTTACTGTGTGTTTACATTTAATTGAGGTTTACATACATTACGTGTTAAAGTTTACTCTGAAGTTTATAAGCCAAAGGTGCACATTTTCTATACAATGTAGCAATACAGACAGTTTACACAGTATCATTTTGTATCATTAGTCATTAGTTTACACAATTCTAATTACGGATGTGATTGTTTTAGGTTTACAGCCGGTTACAATGACGAGCTCCACAATTGTGCTTATTAATTGTTCTTGTTCTTGCAACGAACACATGTGTGGTTGTCACGTGTTGCACATGTTGTTGGGTAGTTTGTTCAGGAGGCCAGTGGAGGTAGTTGTGGTGAGTGTGGAGGCTGTGTTGTGCGGCACACTGTAAAATACACCCCTCTAGTAGGGTCTAAAACCTGTGCCGGGATAATCACTATGACGTCATAGTGACGTCACACACCTCGTGCACTCCATATATAAAGCAAATTTGTACATCTTTATTTCGTTAGATTAGTTTAGGTTAGGTTTGGATAGGTTAGGTTGGGTTAGTTTAGGTTAGATTTGGGTAGGTTAGGTTAGGTTGGGTTTGTTTACAGGGTAGCGATGATGTAGAAGGATGCATAATTTTCTCAGGTCTTAGACCCTTTCCAGTGTACGGCATGAGGGGGTGGGGTCAGCGGGAACACGTTTAATTCTTCCTGGATACGAGTGAATGTTGTCGTACATTATATAAATTCATGAGCAGGAAACCCTAATTAGTGTTAAGAACTCCATGATAGATAAAACTTGTGAGCTTTAAGGTATTCAACACCCCGTAGCGTCCAGCCGAAGCGCGATCCTCCTCGCTCACGTCTCTTGAAGACCAGTAGTCTTCGATGTCTATGACATATTAATTGGTAAGTTATATGTTAAATTTGTCTTGTTCAGTGATGACCGGGCGATTATCTGGTACGTCCGTGATATCTGAGGTGGTAGTAGGCATCCATCGGTCTCAGGAGACTATGGAGTGACGCTCTGGTTGTCGGTCTGGAGTGGCCTCACCAGGGCGCGAAGCCAGGGTAGGTTGATACGGGGGAGAAGCTGTTACCCATGCAGCAGGTCCCCTTCTCTCCACGGCGCCGAAAGTCTCAAATGGAAAGGCAAACGTGATCTGAGGTAAGTGTATAATAATATGCTAGCGTCGTCCCCAAGAACAATTGCCTTTAGAACATGAGGAGACGACCACGTTTCGATCCGTCCTGGACCATTATCAAGTCGATTGTCATTCAGGACGGACCGAAGGAAGGAACTATTTGGGGAAAGCGCCAAGCCATTACGACTATATAGCACTGGGAGGAGGTCAGGATAAGGATTTGGGATGGGACGGGGGGAAAGGAATGGTGCCGAACCACTTGGACGGTCGGGGATTGAACGCAGACCCCCAGGAAGCCAGACCGTCGCTCTACCGTCCAGCCCCCAAGTGGTTGGACGTATTCGGGTTCTTATGTGGTTATCAAGAAGCCATAATCACCTTTCATCAACGTCAAGTTGCTGAAGGTTACAGACCGGACCATTGTGCCAGGCTCTCTCCAGTGCTCCAGACATACTCGAGGGTGACACATGTATGTGTCTCCTCCTCCCCATAATCCCTGATACATTGTATAGTTAGTTGCAGTGACAGGTTCAGATGTGTCTTATTATATATCTTTAACTACTAGTGCTAGTGGCTTTACAAGATTGTAAACACCATGCTATGTATTCTCACAAACCCAATGTACCTTCTTGTATATAATTAAATAAATAAATAAATAAATAAATAAATAAATAAATAAATAAATAAATAAATAAATAATTAAATAAATAAATAAATAAATAAATGACAATATGAATTTTTAATCAATTATTTACATCAAGGTTGTTTCCTGGTCTCCCATGAAGGGTTTGTTCTAAGATCTCCACAACAATTTATTGCCAGATTACAGTCTATAGTTCTCTAATAATATGTTGTTGTTGTGGAGAGGTTAGAGGAGTGGTTCAAGTGAGGGCCACGCTGGCTTCTTTAGACAAATGTTAACTTCAGAAGACTAGAGCAGTGAGTCTTGGTGAGCACAGTCGACGACGCGTCCTAAACTCACTCGACCTGATATGACCGAACCCGACCGAGATTAATCTCTCCTGAGATGATCTAAGTCAACACGACCGATCATAGCTTGACTCGCCCTAGCAGCCTAACACGGGATAAAGACAGGCTATTTAACACAAGGGGCACACGCACTAGGGGACACAGGTGGAAACTGAGTGCCCAAATGAGCCACAGAGATATTAGAAAGAACTTTTTTAGTGTCAGAGTGGTTGACAAATGGAATGCATTAGGAAGTGATGTGGTGGAGGCTGACTCCATACACAGTTTCAAGTGTAGATATGATAGAGCCCAGTAGGCTCAGGAATCTGTACACCTGTTGATTGACGGTTGAGAGGCGGGACCAAAGAGCCAGAGCTCAACCCCCGCAAGCACAATTAGGTGAGCAATTAGGTGAGTACGAGTGGACATGGTCCGAGGGACCTTACCCAGGCGAGGGTAGAAATATCCTAAGTTTCTCTATCCCTTTGGAATGTATTTTATTATCTGAATAAATTTACTGGATTTGAAGCTTATCTAGTCCGACCTGAACTTAACCCGGTGACGCACGTCGGCGAGGAGCCACCAGCCACGCCAGGCTCACTGACCACATCCTCTACCACTTCCAAGACACTGGAATTTCGCAACACACACACACACACACACACACACACACACACACACACACACACACACACACACACACACACACACACACACACACACACTCACACTCACACTCACACTCACACACAGCTTGAGGAGGACAGCTTGAGGCTTCAAGAAGACCTGGACAAGCTGCAGGAATGGTCGAACAAATGGCTGTTAGAGTTTAATCCAAGCAAATGTAATGTAATGAAGATAGGGGTAGGAAGCAGGAGACCAGATACAAGGTATCACTTGGGAGATGAAATACTTCAAGAGTCCGAGAGAGAGAAAGACCTGGGGGTTGATATCACGCCAGACCTGTCCCCTGATGCTCACATCAAGAGGATAACAGCAGCAGCATATGCCAGGTTGGCTAACATAAGAACGGCCTTTAGAAACTTGTGTAAGGAATCTTTCAGAACATTATATACCACATATGTCAGACCAATCCTGGAGTATGCGGCACCAGCATGGAGTCCATATCTAGTCAAGCATAAGACTAAAATGGAAAAGGTTCAAAGGTTTGCCACCAGACTTGTACCCGAGCTGAGAGGTATGAGCTACGAGGAGAGACTACGGGAATTAAACCTCACTTCGTTGGAAGACAGAAGAGTTAGGGGGGACATGATCACCACATTCAAGATCCTCAAGGGAATTGACAGGGTTGATAAAGACAGGCTGTTTAACACAAGGGGCACACGCACTAGGGGACACAGGTGGAAACTGAGTGCCCAAATGAGCCACAGAGATATTAGAAAGAACTTTTTTAGTGTCAGAGTGGTTGACAAATGGAATGCATTATGAAGTGATGTGGTGGAGGCTGACTCCATACACAGTTTCAAGTGTAGATATGATAGAGCCCAATAGGCTCAGGAACCTGTACACCTGTTGATTGACAGTTGAGAGGCGGGACCAAAGAACCAGAGCTCAACCCCCGCAAGCACAACTAGGTGAGTACAACTAGGTGAGTACACAACTAGGTGAACAACTAGGTGAATACACAGGAAGCAGCCCGTAGCAGCTGTCTATGTTGTTTAAGATTCAGCTACTAGGAACAACAATTCCAACTAGCACGGGCGATGGTGAGCCCGTTGTGGACTTACCTGGCACAGGAGCGGGGCTGTAACTGTGCAGCTGTCTAATTCCCAGTTACTTATTTACTGAAGGTGCATAGGATAATCAGGTGAAAGAAAGTGCCTCTTTGTTTCCGCCTCGGCCGGGAATTGAATTCTGGCCCTGAGGGCTACGATCCCCGAGCGCTGTCCACTGAGCCGCGAGGCCCTGTAATATGTATGTGCTATTTAGTTATTCTTATCTTAATAATATTAGGATAATACACTTAACTTTACGAGCTGGTTCTGGAAAGGAGCTGCATTCACAATTTTCAAAAGTAGATATGACAGGAAAATATGTCGGAAGTCATTGCATTATACACCCGTTAGCTGGAAGGGCCGGGTCCAAGAGGTAGAGCTCGGTCTGCGATGTATTTTCTGTAATTTTTACATAAATCATTTTCACCTCCAGCGTCCTCCACCTTCCGCAGAGTGCTTCCTGTACCCCGTGACGAAGGGGGAGAAGAGCCCCAGCGTCCCCCTCAACGCCAGCGGCGACACCATCATCACCATCAACAACATCTACGACAACAACACCATCACCACCATCACTACTGACAATGGTGTCTGTGTGGCGCGGGTCCTTCATAAGAGCACTTATAAACCGAGGGAAGATGGCTGCCCTGTCCTCAACGCCAGCGCTGGTAATTATAATACTTTTTAATTTAAATCTTCTGAGGAATGAGCCACATCACTGGTCAAGTTCCTCCCTCAGTAGTACGAGCCAGGAGACAATTGACAGTAATTAACTATCACTTTGATGACCATTATCATCGTGATCATCACATCCCCGTGATGAGCATCAACCATCGTGCCCTACAGGTGCACATCTTCCTTGTGAGAAGTAACATGGATGCCCCGTCTGTGTTGTGTACGGAATTAGAATTTCGTGACGTAATTTGAAGTTATATACACAATTATAGCAAAAAACAGTTCACTTAGTTGTGATTATGGTGATGGACAGGTGACAGGAGGCACGACGAAACCCAGGAACGGACAGGCGACGAGGGAAGACATTAAGAATCTCAAGGACGATCAGCTGACAGGAGAAGACAGGAAGAATCTCAGTGACATACATGTGACAGGAGGACAGGAACAACCCAGGGAAGGAAAGCAGGCACAACAGAGAAAACCCAGGGACAGATAGGAAGAAACTCAGAGACTGACAGGAGATACGAATGCAGGCAATGAGGCACAATAACGTGACTGAAGATTGTGAGATTCTCACAATCGACTTGAGAATGGTCCAGGACGGACCGAAACGTCGTCGTCCCTTCAACTTCTAGTGTGTGGTCTGGTCAACAGGAGATACGAAGAGACCCAGGGACTGCAGGAGACAGGAAGTGACAGGAACAAACTCAGGGACTGGCACAGGAACGTGCTGAAGGACAAAGTAGGAGAACCCAGCCCTAGCTGCTGTACCGTGAGCTCCCACAGCCCTAGCTGCTGTACCGTGAGCTCCCACAGCCCTAGCTGCTGTACCGTGAGCTCCCACAGCCCTAGCTGCTGTACCGTGAGCTCCCACAGCCCTAGCTGCTGTACCGTGAGCTCCCACAGCCCTAGCTGCTGTACCGTGAGCTCCCACTAGCTGCTGTACCCTAGCTGCTGTACCGTGAGCTCCCACAGCCCTAGCTGCTGTACCGTGAGCTCCCACAGCCCTAGCTGCTGTACCGTGAGCTCCCACAGCCCGCTGCCGTGGACGGTGAACCCGGGAAAAGATCACAGTAAAATTAATTTTTTTCACAGATACATCAATGCCATAGATGAGACTATTGCTGACCAGATATGCAGATGTCACCAAGTTCTATGGTGGAGTAAGAAGCAGTAACTGTCCTGAAGCCTTACAAAGAGATCTTCATGACCTTCACAAATGATCAGAAGTCTGGCAAATACTTTTCAATACTGACAAGTTCAAGACCTTGCATGTAAAGCATAACCGTGCACTTCACCATACCTTAGGAATAAAAAAAAACTTTAACTTCAAAGAAAAGACCACTGTATCCAAGCATGGAGACCGCACTTTCAAAAGGACATTTCTCCAAAAATCTTTTGGAGAAAGTTCAACATAATTCAAGGTTCAACAACACTTTAATTATTAAAGATGAACCTATAAAACATTTAAAACCTACAACTATTTATTGAATGTGATATTTTTAAGACATCCTAACAGTCAGTCCTAAATTTGCACATATACACATTTTTAAATCCCGTACTTTATATCATTAAATATTGTCTATATGTCTGTCCATGATTGGTGTCCACAAGCTTGGGGCTAGCTTCACCAAACTTTGCATGGTGACGGATTGGTGGTAGAGGACTGTCATAGTCGGGTTTGGATCGGCCCTATTGCCAGGTTTAGGAAGAGTCGGCTCCCAGTGCGAACCCCAGCGACTCCCATGAAGTCTGATTTTTTTTAAGTTTTCAACAGTACTTCAGCTATATATATACTCGAGGTCTGAGAGAGAGTGCCTTATATGATTGTTATTAAGAGATAAATAAAGTTTATTCCTTATGATGCATATAATAGGTTCATGAAATAAATGCGTCTCTAGGAGCAGGCTTCAACAGAGGTGAGGAAGGATTACAGCTCTTGCTTGCAGTTTCACCAGGTTCCTTATATGATAGTTTCAGATAACATACTCATGAAATAAATAAGTGTCTAGGAACAGGCTTCAGATGAGCTGAGGTATGATATCAGCTCTTGCTTGCAGTTCCACTAGGGACTTCAATCGACAGCCCTAATGACTCTTAGTTTAAAAAATAAATAGAGAATATTGCGTGGAAGGTTTGGCTTCATATAACGGCAATCTTATATCATTAGGCTAGAATATGAGCAACATCTTCACTTCAGTATGACTTGAATGAATTACTCATATTCTGCAAAAAATTGTATATGACTTTTGTTAATAATGATGTTATAGTAATTGTGACTCTCAGTCGACAACAACGCCAGGACGTGGCAAGAGGTGGTGACGGTGGTGGTGCGTCGGGGAGGAGGGAGGACCAGCGTGTACCTGCGGGACTCCGGGGACCACGATCACCAGGTCAAGGTCAACCTCAGTGACGCCAGCAGCCTTCACGTTGTGTCCCAGGAGTTCATCAACGTTGGTTACGGCTGTTACGACGGTGAGTTGAGACAGACAGACAGAAAGACCGACTGAGAGAAAATATTGTGGGGGAACTTTTTGTTTCATCTTCATTCTCTTATTATACAATTATTTTATTTTAGAATATAAAAATCCATTTTTTTTATTGTAAATAGGCCAAGATTTAGCCAAATATTAAGAATGTAACGCAGGTCATAATTTAAAATTTATATCTTTTTCATTAGCTAGTGATAAGTTTACATAATTTTTAAATGTAACTAGTATATTATTTGCTATATTTTAATCTAATAAAGCTAATGTGGAGTGTGAAGTTGTTAAGAGTCAGTTGTGGTAGTGGCAGGTCTCACACTGTTGGGGTGTTCCAGGATGTTTCCAGTTCCAGAACGCCACCATTCACAAGAGCTTCAGAGACGGACGTCCTGGATCTTTACTCTTCTACGGACAACTTACGGGCTCGGAACCACTCAATAGGATCATATTTGCTATAAAAGACGCTGGTTGGGACCAAAGGAAAGGTTTCTACCCAGAGGACAGTATTATGAACAACACTCACTGGTTCGCGTTCCGAGCGCTGCCAGAGTACACCGGAGAGAAGGGTAAATACGAACAATCCCTCACACTCCGGTACGAGACTGCCGCCTCCAGCTGCAGCCCGGAGGACCCAGCCTGCAATACGGGACATAATGCAACTTATACAGGAGACGTTCCTTCCAAGGACTTGTACCTGACTTTCTATGCGACGAAGAACGTGCGGTGGGCCGTGTTCTGCCGGCCTCGGAACACTAGCCAGGAGCCAGGTGAGGAGGACCAGCCAGCTCTTACCACAACCACGTCTCCAACCACTATTAATTTTTCTTTTCACTTAAACAACAGTTCCCAAACTGATGATAATCAAGGTAAGTATTTATATGCTCCGTTAGTATGTGTATATATGAACTAACAGTGTGTGTGTGTGTGTGGGGGGGGGGGGGGGTGAGCTGTGCTCCGGTAGCTCTCCCAATCACCCTCCCCCTCATCTCTCTTGCTCTATGCCCTCTCTCTTCCTATCTCCCCTCCCCTCTCCTCAACTCTCCTCTCCTCTCCTCTCCTCTCCTCTCCTCTCCTCTCTTCTCCTTCATTTTCTCCCCCTCTTTCATATCTCCTCCCCTCTCCACCAGTCTTCCCCCCCCTCTCTCTCTCTCTCTCTCTCTCTCTCTCTCTCTCTCTCTCTCTCTCTCTCTTTTCTCTTCTCTTTCTCTTTCTCTTTCTCTTTCTCTTCTCTCTCTCTCTCTCTCTCTCTCTCTCTCTCTCTCTCTCTCTCTCTCTCTCTCTCTCTCTCTCTCTCTCTCTCTCTCTCTCTCTCTCTCTCTCTCTCTCTCTCTCTCTCTCTCTCTCTCTCTCTCTCTCTCTCTCTCTCTCTCTCTCTCTTCTCTCTCTCTCTCTCATTTCCTCTTTAAAATATTCACTCTTCCCCAGAGAAAAGCAATTATACTTTCAACCTCTTCAAATGATTAGCCACTATGGTACGAGTATGTGAAATAAGACTCAACCTGGTGAAGGGTAGGGCAGGTGGTGAAGGGTAGGGAAGGTGGTGAAGGGTAGGGAAGGAGGTGAAGGGTAGGGAAGGTGGTGAAGGGTAGAGAAGGAGGTGAAGGGTAGGGAAGGATGTGAAGGGTAGGGAAGGATGTGAAGGGTAGGGAAGGTGGTGAAGGGTAGAGGAGGGTAGGAAGGTGTGAAGGGTAGGGAAGGATGTGAAGGGTAGGGAAGGATGTGAAGGGTAGGGAAGGTGGTGAAGGGTAGGGAAGGATGTGAAGGGTAGGGAAGGATGTGAAGGGTAGGGAAGGATGTGAAGGGTAGGGAAGGTGGTGAAGGGTAGGGAAGGTAGTGAAGGGTAGGGAAGGTGGTGAAGGGTAAGGAAGGTAGTGAAGGGTAGGGAAGGGTAGGGAAGGTGGTGAAGGGTAGGGAAGGTAGTGAAGGGTAAGGAAGGTAGTGAAGGGTAAGGAAGGTAGTGAAGGGTAGGGAAGGAGGTGAAGGGTAGGGAAGGTAGTGAAGGGTAAGGAAGGTAGTGAAGGGTAGGGAAGGTAGTGAAGGGTAGGGAAGGTAGTGAAGGGTAGGGAAGGTAGTGAAGGGTAGGGAAGGTAGTGAAGGGTAGGGAAGGTAGTTAAGGGTAGGGAAGGTAGTGAAGGGTAGGGAAGGTGGTGAAAGAATACCTTCGACTGATTAAATTTCAAGATTTCAGTAAACTTGGCGTATATAAACTGAGAAGTTAGAGACACCCCCTGATGTATATATTCCTCGAATAAAATAATAATAATAATAATAATAATAATAAATAATAATAATAATAATAATAATAATACAAATAGTAATAATAATAATATTAATAATAATGAAAATATTAATAATAATAATAGTGAAAGCAAAAACTGTTTTGCTATTTTTCATGTGTAAATTTGACATTAAAAATTACATAAAATTGTCAATAAAATGCATATAAGTGGATTAGTGAGGCCTGCGAACAGAGAAAGCGTGTAAAAGATTGTATGCAGAACATTATCAAACGGAAAATGTAAGACAATACACAGAGAGCTCACATTATCGTCATATATCAATGAGAAAATCCACACGAGTCGTGATGAGGATTCGAACCTATGCGCTGGGTGTTCCTAGATGTACGCTCTAGTCCACTACGCCATGACATGGTAAAAGAATTGCAACCTGGGGTACTACTGCACCCTCGAGGATTCCCGAGGCTTCCACTGAAGCCTCACCGGGGTTTCACACAATTCCCTTACCTCCCCCCCCTGCACTCTGGCTGTGTCGTCCAGTAATTCTACCTGTGACGCTTCTTTTTTTAAGACGGGCGTTAGAGGTAGAATTAGTTCCTTATATGATAGTTCCCTATGTGATAGTTTCAAAGTACATTCTCATGATATAAATGAGTTTCTAGGAGCAGGCTTCAGACGAGCTGAGGTAGGATAACGACTCTTGTTTGCAGTTTCAATAGGTACGTCAATTGACAGCCCTTATGAACCTTAGTCTTAGTTTACAAAAGAGAGAGAGAGATTAATTTGAAAGAGAATTCTCTATCAAATTTCACTACCATTTATCTTATAAGTTTACACATTCTGTTGCTGACGCAAGAACAAGAGAGAAAACAACATCCTCTCAGGGACCTGGGCGGGATATTTAACATTAAAAGCAAAGTAAAAATGAAGTAGCCTCACCATACTTTGTTATAGGGGGAAAAGGTAACACAGACTAGAGTGACTTGATAAGTTAATGTTTATTTCGTTCACATCAAGTTATACTCCGGCCCATCGAAGGTAAGTTAAACTCTCTGTTAAAATAAAACATAAAAACACTTTGTTATACAAAAAAAATTATAATTTGTTTTACTTATCTAGCTTCTACAGAAAGCAAATATTTCTAAATATTGCATTATATATCAGACAATATTAAAATTATATTATATTATATATTATTAAATGCATTATATTGTTTTAAATAAATGTAATCGTATATATATATATCTATATATCTATCTATCTATCTCTCTCTCTCTCTCTCTCTCTCTCTCTCTATATATATATATATATATATATATATATATATATATATATATATATATATATATATATATATATAGATAGATTATATTATATATATATATATATATATATATATATATTATATATATATATATATATAGATTTATTATATATATATATATATATATATATATATATATATATATATATATATATATATATATATATATATATATATATATATATATATATGAGCATATTACAGCCCTAAATAGACTAGGTCTTTCACCATCATTTGCCACACAGGTGTACTCAAGTGGTTATCAGAGAAGAATATAGAGAACTGGGTGGTGGTGGCGTTGGGAGGCTGCTCGGTCCTCCTGCTGGTGGTCAGCCTTGTCCTGGGTGCTGCCCTTCACCGTAGACGGTCGCCCCCGCCACCCGCGCTCACCACCTCACCCTCTCTAAATGGTCAGCAGGGGCGGCGCCCTCAGTGTGTTGTACTCTTGCTGGGCTGTGGGGCTCTCGACCCGTGTGGGGTCAATATGCCAACACAGTTTACTATAGGACATCTTTGATTTTGTTTATTATTATTTAAAACTTTTTAGTGTATTTCATTTATACCACTATTACTACAACTAATAATAATAATAATAATAATAATAATAATAATAATAATAATAATACAACTGCAGCAAACTACAAAAGTGTAGGTCTTGCTTTCAGCAGCTAAAGTCTACTAACTAAAAAGTTGTGTAAAAAGTTAACAGGAAAAAAGATAAGTAGTAAAATTTTTGTTTTGATTTAGAATATTTAAAAAAATACACACAGTAAATAATTATATTTTCAATATTCAGCAATTATAATGACATTAACTATATAACATTAACTATATAATGACACTTAATTTCCACAGATGTCGATGACCCTTCAGGTCATATTTACGAATATGTTGACCTCGACACATTGAAGCAACAGCTGGCCGAGGACAAGAGTGCCTCCCAGATGGACCTCGGTGTTCAAAAGAACAAAAGGAACAGCCACACCAGCGTCAACAGCTTATACGGGTGTCTTCACCCGCCAGAAACTACCACACAGTAGGCGCCAGCACGTCGTGGACAACACGCAATAACCCGCCAGAAACTACCACACAGTAGGCGCCAGCACGTCGTGGACAACACGCAATAACCCGCCAGAAACTACCACACAGTAGGCGCCAGCACGTCGTGGACAACACGCAATAACCCGGAAACTACACACAGTAGGCGCCAGCACGTCGTGGACAACACGCAATAACCCGCCAGAAACTACCACACAGTAGGCGCCAGCACGTCGTGGACAACACACAATAACAGCACAATCAAAAGGAATACTACAAAAGACCTATTGACCCATACGTGGCAGCCCCTATTTATATCCACCAGCATAGTTCAGCTACGGAGCCATATGAACAGTCGGTTACCCATTCCACTGGTGATGCTGATGCTATTAGGCAGAGTTAGCTGACCTGATTGATAGGTCAAGTTCATGTTTATCTGTGAGGTGCTGATTAGGTTACACTTTGGAGTTAGCTGAGAAAGTATTGTTGATAAGAAAAATTGATAGAGCTCATTTTTGTAAAATAGTGTAATATTTTCTGTAAATAAAACTATATATATATATATTGTACATAAATTTTAAACTAGTATTTTCAACCTTTAGTAAAATGTTGACTATAAAAAGTAATTTATATATCATTTACAGTACAGTAATTAAGATAAAATAGGTTTAACGTCCCATGAATATATTCTACAAATTATGTTCTACTTAAAATAACTGTGTAATTGATTGAAGAGTATGAAAATTGAACTGCTCAGAACAGAATCAACTAAGTTTAGAGTAGTCGAAGCTGTATATAGCAAATGGGAGGATGGTGCAAGATATAGTGAGCAGTGAAAATATGTTTAAAAAATAATGTGATACATCAGCCCTGGGAGCAATATGTAGGATGATTAAAAGTCCACAGTGTGATATGTCAATCTGGGGGAACAATCCTATCTCCTAGACTTACGACCTTCATGAGAATCCTATCTCCCAGACTTACGACCTTCATATCAGTCCCATCTCCCAGACTTACGACCCTCATGAGAGTCCCATCTCCCAGAGACTTACGACCTTCACATTAAGACTCACACTCATAGAAGCTCTTGGCGTCTTTTTGCTCTATCTCTCTCTAGCATATATATACACGATATATTCCTGTGTAAAATATGTATATAACAATATATTATAACCTGTCCTCAGGACATATCAGTAGTCCAATATTGGACTTATAATGTAGGTCAAGTTTGACACTCAACTGTGAATGTTCAAATCTCTATTCAGAGTTTATGCATATATTCTTTTACCTACTTTTTGGGGTAAATGCACCCTGTGAAGTATGGGTAGGTTAGGTAAGGTTACGTTAGGTAAGGCTAGGTTAAGTTAGGTTAGTTTACACTTATTAAAAATTTTTGAGAAGGTTTTTTAAGTAACTATGACAATTTTCTTTAGTGATTAATTTGATTTATTTATATACTTAATACATGATCTCGGTCTGGTATAATAATTATCTCTACGAAACCGGTTGTAACATCGCCAGAACTGGCCTGGCTTAACCGGCATCCGATGTCTGTGTGTCTCTGGCGCTGTCGACGGGGAACTCTGGTATTTTATTAAGTGTAATGTGTAGTTCAAATATAAATAATAATGCGTGCAGAGTCGTCACGACAAGCTCCTCCATTGTAGATTTCTTATAAATAAACATATGACTTTTCCTTTCTGTCTTTAATTATTGTAGTTTGTCCGTGAAACAATTGTAATTTGGTGATATCCAATTAAAGCCTTAATTGACTAATATGTTATGAATAATGACCATTCAGAGCTTATGGTTGATAACAGGAGAGTCGTGTGTTTAACGACCGTCTTAACTGATTTAAGGATAACTAGCTCCTTACAGGAGTAAGTCGTTGATTATATTCACTATAGACTTCATCAATTCCCAACCATTCATGGTATCTGGAATGTAAAGTAATTCCTGGGAATACTCTATTTAGATTTACCTTTTAACCACGAGAGTTTATAAGGTCCACAACATAATGATATTGACTTATATTTATTCTGAAGTACTCTCCATTGGGATTGTTTTGGTGTTGGGGTTAAGGCCTATCCACCTCTGGACGGTGGATAAAGTTACTGTCAATGGTTACTGACCTACCAGCAGGTATATTAAGTTTCTGAACAATATAGGTAGCGAGGCAGTGTTCTCAGCACCGGGAGCGAGGCAGTGTTCTCAGCACCGGGAGCGAGGCAGTGTTCTCAGCACCGGGAGCGAGGCAGTGTTCTCAGCACCGGGAGCGAGGCAGTGTTCTCAGCACCAGGAGCGAGGCAGTGTTATCAACACCGGGAGCGAGGCAGTGTTCTCAGCACCGGGAGCGAGGCAGTGTTATCAACACCGGGAGCGAGGCAGTGTTCTCAGCACCGGGAGCGAGGCAGTGTTATCAACACCGGGAGCGAGGCAGTGTTCTCAGCACCGGGAGCGAGGCAGTGTTATCAACACCGGGAGAGAGGCAGTGTTGGCTTTCCCCGTGGCAAGAGCAAGCCTTGAGGGACTGCCAATAATTATAGAAAATAATGATGATGATGATTAGGATAAAGAAGAAGCAGAAACAATAGTGTCTGCACGTGGCTATATCAGCCACACAGCCAAGGATCCGCTCCCACATCCTGAGGGAGGTGACACATGACCTGCAGGGACGTCCTGCAGTCCTGGTGCAGCCTGCGGGGGCAGAGGACGTCGTCGGAGCCGGGTCCCGTGCACTTGATCATCCAGGGAGGACCCCAGCCAGACCAGGATGGTGGACCAGTGGACGGTGTTGTGGTGGTGCCTGATGGTGATCACTGCAGACGCGGGCCTCGCCAGCGGTGTGGAGGGTGAGTATGAGAGAGAGAGAGAGAGAGAGAGAGAGAGAGAGAGAGAGAGAGAGAGAGAGAGAGAGAGAGAGAGAGAGAGAGAGAGAGAGAGAGAGAGAGAGAGAGAGAGAGAGAGAGAGAGAGAGAGAGAGAGACAGAGACAGAGACACACATCATGGTCGTCCCCTTTGATGTTGCTGGATAGGTCGTTCTCGTTGGTCACTTTAACCTCAAGTGTTTCATGGAACACAATGCACAAACACACGGTATAAACTGCAGGGCTTGAAAAAAGGTCAAAATAAATAATATATGGAAATAAAATCACAAAAGATGGAGGTACGAGTACATGAATGAGCCTTAGAGGGAGCAGGATGTCAGTACCATGGCATTGTACCGTACCTGGATGGTACACTGTGAGCACAGCGTTGAGGGTACAGATGGTACTGGGGTGTGTGGATGCGAGATCTTCTGGAAGGTCAGAATTCTCATCGTATGAGAATGAGAATTCTCTTTCACATCTTTGATAATGTTTCCTGTACAGCTGAAGGGGTAGCAGCCTCGCCCGTACGGGGCTAACGATCTCCTTTATTTACCTAGCAAATATTGAATGTATTTACATAGGTTACCCAAGGAACAGGCCTGACTACGAGATAAACAAGTCTGAGGTGATAGCAAGACATTATAGTACCGTGATATTGTACACCAATCGGGAAATATTTTCAAATGATAGAGTTTGACGCCACATGTGGCACTGGTCGAAGAAAGTACTCAGAGAGCACAGAAAATGACGGTACTGACTGATGAAAGTACTCAGAGCATGGAGAGTGGATGTACTGGTCGAGGAAAGTACTCAGAGAGCATTGAGAGTGACGGTACTGACCGAGGAAAGTACTCAGAGAGCACGGAGAGTGACGATACTAGCTGAAGGGAAGGAAAATGTTCTAACATTGCATGTGTCATCCCTGGCGTCTGTGACGACATTTCCTGTTAACAATAAGAAATGTTAAAAATCAGAAAACTAAAAATCATAAGGGAATTATTTAATTTATAAATCGCCAGTACCCTCGTTGTTATGCCTCAATGGTCTTGGATACATTTCATGATATTAATAAATTAAATAACTTACAAAATATTTCATTAAAGATGTATGAAATATTCTACCTTGTTGTTCTTTAAGATTCAGCTACTCGGAACAAAAAGTTCCAAGTAGCACGTATTGAACTTTATATTATACCAGGCAACTAAAATTTTGAACATCCACACTGTACAGTGTTACATTATTTGTCAACATCCACACTGTACAGTGTACAAGATGTAGTACACCATCTGGTGCTGGTCTGTGACGTCACCACTAGCTGATCACCAACACCAACATTTCCTTTAACCTTTATGTGGACCATTTTCACCTCCAGCGTCCTCCACCTTCCGCAGAGTGCTTCTTGTACCCCGTGAAGAAGGGGGAGCAGAGCCCCAGCGTCCCCCTCCAGGACAGTGGCGACACCATCATCACCATCAACAACATCTACGACAACAACACCATCACCACCATCACTACTGACGATGGTGTCTGTGTGGCGCGGGTCCTTCATAACAGCACTCATCAACCGAGGAAAGATGGCTGCCCTGTCCTCGACGCCAGCGCTGGTAATTATAATACTTTTTAGTTTAAGTCTTCTGAGGAATGAGCCACATCACTGGTCAAGTTGCTCCCTCAGTAACGCTGGGCAGGAGACAATTGACAGTAATTAACTGTCACTATGATGATCATTATTATCGTGATCATCTCATCCTTGTGATGCGCATTAGTCATCGTACACCAACAGATGAGCATCTTTCTTTTGAAAGTATCATTACTTACATGTATATACATATATATATATATATATATATATATATATATATATATATATATATATATATATATATATATGTTTCATTTTTCCTCCGTGGTCTGACATTGTCACATTCTTAATCACGTGTTTATTTTCGTGATATACACACACACACATATATATATATATATATATATATATATATATATATATATATATATATATATATATATATATATATATATATATACACCCCAGAAGTGACTCGAACCCATACTGCCAGGAGCACTATGCAAATGGTGTACAGGGCACCTTATCCACTCGACCATCACAACCGGACAAAAGCTGATGGTAGCCGAGGCTATATCCCCAACAGCCCGCCGGAACTCTGATGGTAATCTTGGGCATGGTATTTTATCAAATCACCTCATTCTCTGGGGCACACGTGAGGAACACAAATGCGAACAAGCCTGAATGGTCCCCAGGCATACATGCAACTGAAAACTCACACCCTAGAAGTGACTCGAACCCATACTGCCAGGAGCACTATGCAATTGTTGTACAGGGCACCTTATCCACTCGACTATCACGACCGGACAAAAGAAGAATAGTGCCAAGACAATGAATACTGACAGCGAAGAAAGACAGTTTGCAAGAACAGTATTCAAGTTAACGGCAACTCTAAGGAAAAATCAAGCCCGTCTTCAGTATCTTTTATAATAATAATAATAATAATAATAATAATAATAATAATAATAATAATAATAATAATAATAATAATAATAATAATAATAATAATAATAATTCATTGTGTAGGGAGACATGAAACCATGTTAAGAAGAAAAGAATTAGGAAGCACAGCAGCAAGCCTGATGGTCCACGCTAGGCGGGTTCTGACATGTTCGAACTGTTTCAGAATCCTGTTTATATTTTCCTTGTTTATAACCCTAACGCACTTGAACACTTGGATCGTGTCCAAATTGTCCTCCGTCTCTCTAACCAGAGCAGATTAGGACTTGCATGAGTTATACTCATCCAAGTGGAGCCTCACCAGTGCTAGGTGTAACTGAAGGATGATACTCGTGTTTCTGTTTGCAGACGATGAGTTACAATTACGTGGCTGAAGATATGATGACCAAACCACACACCAGAGGATGAGAAAACGACGACTTTTCAGTCCGTCTTGGACCATTATCAAGACAATCGGCTTGATAATAATCCAGGACGGATCGAAACGTCGTTGTCTCCTCATCGTCTGTTATGTGGTTTGGTCATAGTGTTTCTGTTGATGATGGTTATTATAATAAATCCCAGCACCCTGTTTTATTTTGTGCAGTGATACATTGCTGTCTGGGCCTCAGGTCGCTGCTGAACATTACTCCCAAGTCTCTCACACAATTTGATATACTCATCACAGCAGTATTGATGTGGTACATAGCATCAATGTCATTAATATATGTAAATTTGTTAACTTAGATAATGTTAAACTGCATTTGGCATCTGTTACTTCGCAGTTTATTCAGGGTTTTCTTTTGAATTCGTTGCACGTTCAATATTTATATCGTCAGCAAACATGCTGTTATCACTGGTCTCTCCAGTATTACGGTCGATGATGTAAATTATTATATTAGGGTTGTTGATTTATGAAGCGAATTACCAGTAACATGAGAGACTTGACGTCGCTGGACTGTTCCAAGCGAAGGTTTGAAGTAAATATTAACGAGTTTGGATGTAATAAAGAGGAGCAGCCTCGCATGGGTCAGTAGGCCTTCAACAGTTTAATATATTCTTATATTCTCCCCAGTCGACACCAGCACCGGGACGTGGCATGAGTTGGTGACGGTGGTAGTGCATCGGGGAGGAGGGAGGACCAGCGTGTACCTGGGGGACTCCGGGGACGAGGAGCAGCTGGTCAAGGTCCACCTCGGAGACGCCAGCACCGTTCATGTTGTGTCCCAGGAGTTCGTCAACGTTGCTTACGGCTGTTGCCACGGTGAGGAGAGAGAGAGAGAGAGAGAGAGGGAGAGAGAGAAAATTATTCAGATTAAAATTGTTTTCCCTGATGTTGTAAGTTATTTTACGGTTAAAGATAGCTGTCGTTATTTCTATCATATAAATGAGTTATTATAAATATTTGTATGTCCAAAGTTACCAGCCAGTGTTGAGTGTGAAGTTGTTAAGAGTCAGTTGTGGTAGTGGCGGGTCTCACACTGTTGGGGTGTTCCAGGATGTTTCCAGTTCCAGAAGGCCACCATTCACAAGAGCTTCAGAGACGGACGTCCTGGATCTTTACTCTTCTACGGACGACTTACGGGCTCGGGACCACCCAAGAGGACCATATTTGATTTAAGAGTCGCTGGTTGGACCGAAAGGAAAGATTTCTTCCCAGAGAACAGTACTATGAACAACACTCACTGGTTCGCGTTCCGAGCGCTGCCAGAGTACACCGAAGGCAAGAAGGGTAATTACGGACAATCCCTTACACTCCGGTACGAGACTGCCGCCTCCAGCTGCAGCCCGGAGGACCCAGGCTGCAATACAGGACATAATGTAATGTATGCAGGAGCAGTTGATTCCAGGGATTTGTACCTGTCTTTCAGTGCGACGGAGAACGTGCGGTGGGCCGTGTTCTGCCGGCCTCGGGCCACTAGCCAGGTGCCAGGTGAGGAGGACCAGCCAGCTCTTACCACAACCACCTCACAAACCACTATTAATTGTTCTTTTCCCTTAAACAAGAGGAACCAAACTGATGATTTTCAAGGATAGTATTTATATGCTACATTGGTATGTGAATATGCTTCGTTAGTATGTGTATATATGTACTAGCGACGGGGTGGGAGGGGGGATACCCTGCAGTGAGGTCGCTCTCTGACCTCTCTCAATCACCCCCCTCATCTCTCTTGCTTTGTCCCCTCTCTCTTCCTATCTCATATTTCCTCTTCTCTCTTCTCCCTTTCCCTCTCCACAGCTGCCCTCACCCTCTCCTCCCTCCACAGCTGCCCTCACCCCCTCCTCCCTCCACAGCTGCACGCTCGGGATGCCTTTTTACAACTAGGCAAGATTAAATGTGATAAAAGCAGCACTACAAAGCCTTAGTAAAAACCCAACTCATCTTTCTCTGAATTCATGCTGTGTTAATTAGACACTGACTCAATGCTGAATCCGCATACTCCAGGAATGGTCTGACATATGTGGTATACAAGGTTCTTATTGATTCCGTACACATATTTCTATAGACAGTGCTTATAATGGCATATGCCATATGGTGATGATGACATACATTTGAAGGGGACTTCAGGAGACAGGTAGGTGAGATATCAAGCCCCAGATCCTTCCTTGTGTTATATTATTGGAGAATTTTATCTCCCATTTAGTTCCTTGTGTCCGAGTCCTCCTCTCTACACCTATTTTCTGTACCTTGCACTTATTTGAGTTCAACTCTAGTCGCCATCTGTTGGACTGTTATTTTAGTTTGTCCAAGTAATCTTGTAGTCACTTGCTATCTTCCTCTGTCTTAACCCTTCTTATAATTTTAATACCAGCTGTCATCATTGAAAGGAATAAGTCTATTCCTGCTGAAAGATCATATACATATATCATAAACAGGATAGTTGCGAGTACTGAACCCTGTGGGACTCCGCTGGTGACATCTGGCGAACCTGATCTCTCCTCACAGTACCTCGCTTTGTTGTGTTGTGTCGGTACTGACTTATCCACCGGAACTCCTTGCCTGTCACTCTTGTCTGTTTTGTCCAATGAATGCAAAAGTCTCTTAAAGGGTACTGTGTCGAAGATACAGTACCCCTGACAACCAAAAGATATACACTCTGCCCACCGGTTTGTCTTGTGAAGCAAGATTTAGTATCCCTAAATCTGTGTTGGTCGTGTTACAAAGTCCCTTAATTATCTCCAGAAGTGCTGTTAGCTTTTCTCTCGCAATCTTCTGAATCACTTTGCATGTATATTTCTGATTTTACCTGATTTACCTGAGGGCCACTAACCCTAGTGGCCACGACGAGGACAGAAAGCCTGCGGCTTGTCGAAGGTCTTCTCCCCATTTGCCTAGATGATCTTTTCCAGGTATATTTTTAAAATTCAGGACAGTTTTGGCAGTTACGGATTCGGTGGGTATGCGGTTATATGGGTTAATAACCCTGTGGGTGAAGAAAAAGCATCTCCTGTTCTCAATACCACACTGTGGCTTGTTGAGCTTAAAACTGTTGCTTCTTGTTTGTGTGTCATATGAATTTCTGAAGAAAATATCCGAATCAACATCCTCTAACATGTTTAGTATTTTAAAAGTTTCAATTAAAACAATTCAATTAATGACATTTTCCTACTACATGAAAAGACGATTTCATGTAGTATATTGGAACTACATTGGCCATCTTCAAACTTTATGGTAGGTCTTGTGTTTCCTGAGACCTTCTATACACCACAGTGTGTGGCTGCTCCCTCTTTTAGAATATCTCTTAATATTTATATTGTGTAATATTTTGTCATAAGAGATCCTGAGTTATCCTTGACCTCCCCCAGCTTACCAAACCCCATCAACCGTCATCATCAGTGTTATCTTGACTCACGTATTACAATGTATTACAAAGGAGGAAATTTAAACAGGATATAATATTAGTGTCTACTTGGCAGAAGAGGTGGTGTTGTGGCGTGTAATGTCGAGTGCGCTGGTGCTGGCAGTGGTGTGCGTGCTGCTGTTCCTGGTCACCGTCTTCCTCAACATTATTATTGTACGTCGACAACCACCACCATCTCGCCCCTCTCACTCCCACACCGCCCCCCTCGCCTCAACCTATCTATCAAGTCAGTTGTCGACACTTTCTCTCTGAAATCTTTCCGGATTTCATATTCGTCTGATTATTTTAAAGTTTTTCTCCAGAATGTTTAATTTATTAAATCATCATAATAATCTTTAAATAGTAACAAGTAATAATAATAATATTTATAATAATGAAAATAATAATACTAATACTAATAATAATAATACTAATAATAATAATATTTTTTCAAACTGGCACTTTCTTTGTTAAATATATATAAATCGGATACTAAATTAAACTTTGAGCTAGTTGAGGTAATTGTTAGACAATGCTTAAACGACTCGTGTTTAATGTTCCTCAGATAACGACCCTTCGAAACACATTTACGAATACCTAGAACTTGATCCTCTCTAAGATGACTGTCAACAAGCCGGAAGACTTCCCAGGACCGTCACCGTCGCTCCCACAGACGAGGCGGGGATGTTCCCTCGCGGAGGCTCGCCACAGACGACACCTGAAGGACAGGGGCCAGCGTCGCCTCCCAGCACGCATGACACGCCATCTGGGTCGGCGAGAGTATCTCTGAAAGGTTTAGTGGCCCGGGCCATTTAGTATATCATTTGTGTGACGTTGTGGCAACTGGAGAGGACGAGATGGTCTCACCAGTGGGCCTCGTAGCGAAGCCTGGTGAAGGGTAGGGATTCCGGTAGGTGAGTGATCCTCTGGAGCCGGCGACGCACGAGGCGACCCGACGTATAAATTTCAGGCGCTAAACCCAACCCGTCCTCTCGAGGCCTCGCAACGTCACTAAACTGATGTACTAAATTGCCCGAACCTAACCTAACCAAGGATCCACAATTAGAACACGTGATATTACGTCAACTTTGTGAGTCGCTAGGATTTTTAGCACATTTGTTTTATGCTTCAGGGGATTTGTGTCAAAATGCAAGATACTCTTCGAGAGGACAACACCGACTGAGCATGTCGTGAGAGGACGGGCGGGGGCGACTACTCATACAATAAGTGAATCCTTTTACGAAATGTAGGCATTATAGAGTGCCATCTGGGACTCCATCATGTCCCCCAAGCCTCATCGGAGAGGCGCTTCATTATATCTACGCGGCGGAACTCCGGAGATATTCTTCGTGTGTTAATGCTAGACGTGGAGCATGGGGTTCGACCCCGAGCACCTGTGTGCCGTGACTACCGGTAGACCATGGTCCAGTATTCTCAGCACCGGCTGTGTCGGTAATCGGGTTCTGGTAAATTATACACATGGCGATAATACTGCCATAGGCCCTTGTAGTGGCTATACTGCACCTATTGGAGGGTGGAACCCTCTCCAGCGAGGCTCGTTTAATTGGAGTACGTATTAACCTGGACACCAGGGGAACTAATATATCAGAGGATAATTTTGAATAACAGCTGTTGCACCCTACTGAACAGCCCCCCGAGTGATCAACTGATCAGCGAACAGCTGGTTGTGGAGACCTTGCCTCCCACCGCCACCAGGAAAACAATTCTAATTTATATCTACCAGAAAAATTTAGCTCCGGAGCCATAATCCAGCCCGCTGGTGATAATGCCATAAGAGAAGTTTAACTGACGTGACTGGCAGGCTTAGTTAATAGGTCAATAGTGGTTCTTCCTCAACTGTGAAATGCCGCTTGCGATAGGGAATATACCTTTGAATTTCTAAAGAGCAACATATTCACACAATAGTGATAGAGCTTACTCATGCATCAAATGTGTGAAAATTGGATTTATGTGTATTTCAAAATCGAGCAGTAAAATATTTAATTGCTAAAAGGAATAGCAAGATAAAATGCGTAATAAAAGTATGCTTGCCAAGTAGTGTAGTGTGAAGCGGTATTAGTTTGTAATGTATGCTTCAACTAAGTCAACTCTGATAACAACATCGGGTGAGGGACACAGAACTAAAAACACTACAAACTGTTTGATCGAAACATTTAAAATGCTGAACAATTTGGAAGATTTTAATCTAGACAACTTCTTGAAAAGGTTCAATGTAATTGATACAGGGGGCAATAGCTTCATGCTCAACAAGCCACAACGTAGGACACACAACAGGACATAAATTCTTTAATCAAGGTTAATGGAATCGCGAATCACTATACCTTCTGACTCTGCAACTCCAACAGCACCTCGTGCAAAACATACTTCAGAAGCCCTTGATCCTGCAGCACCGTCTACAGGGCTTCCTACTAGTGGAATTGTTCCTGCTGCAACTCGCGATCCTGCAATACAACCTCAAACACCGGCTCTTGCAACAACAACTATAGAATCCACTGATTCTTCAACATCGACTTGAGCACCTCCAGGCACTGAATCAGCTGCCGCTGCAGCACCTGAGCAGTCTGCCTGAGACGAACCCTCTACATCATCTGGAGAAGAAACATCAGAGAATGTCACTGATGTCTCCACACATCCACCATCTCGATATTTCAAGATCAAGAAACCACATCTCTAGACGAAGACACTCAAGAACTAGACATTGAAGCCCAAGAATATTACAAAAGCATGGAATCTCCAGTAAGCAGACGAGACTAAGAATATCGAAGAAGCAAAGAAGAGGATCCTTCTCTGAAGATGATCATTCCAACTGAAACAATCTGTAAATCATGTGATCTTGACAGTCTTACTACCTTCATGAGAGTCCCATCTCCCAGACTTAAGCCCTTCATGAGAGTCCCATCTCCTAGAGACTTACGATCTTCACATTTAGATTCACACTCATAGAAGCTCTTGGCGTATTTCTTGCTTTATTTCTCTCTAGCATATAAATACACGATATATTCCTGTGTGAAATATGTATATAACAATATGTTATAACCTGTCCTCAGATCATATCAGTAGTACAATATTGGACTTATAATGTAGGTCAACTTTGGCACTTAACTATGAATGTTCAAATCTTTGTTCAGAGTTTATGCATATATTTGTTTACCTTCTTTTCGGGGCAAATTCTCCCTGTGAAGTATGGGTAAGTTAGGTAAGGCTAGATTAAGTTAGGTTAGTTTTACATTTATTAAAATGTTAGGAGAAGGTTTTAAGTAACTATGAAAAAAATATAGTGATGCCCTTGATTTATTCATATAACTAATAAATGATCTCGGTCTGGTATAATAATTATCTCTAAGAAACCATTAGTAACATCGCCGGACCCCGACCTGGCTTACCCGGCAGCCGATGTCTGTGTCTCTGGCGCTGTCGACGGGGAACTCTGGTATTTTATTAAGTGTAATGTGTAGTCCAAATATAAATAATAATGTCGAGTAGAGTCGTCACGACAAGCTCCTCCATTGTATATTTCTTATAAATAAACATATGACATTTCCTTTCTGTCCACCTTTTAACCACGAGAGTTTATAAGGTCCACTACATAAGGACTTATATTTATTCTAAAGTACTCTCCATAGGGTGTTGGGGTTAAGGCCTATCCACCTCTGGACGATTGATAAGGCTACAGCCAATGGTTACAGACCTACCAGTAGGTATATTGTTTTTGGACAATATAGGTAGCGAGGCAGTGTTCTCAGCACCGGGAGCGAGGCAATGTTATCAGCACCGGGAGTGAGGCAGTGTTCTCAGCGCCGGGAGCGAGGCAGTGTTATCATCACCGGGAGTGAGGCAGTGTTATCATCACCGGGAGCGAGGCAGTGTTCTCAGCACCGGGAGCGAGGCAGTGTTCTCAGCACCGGGAGTGAGGCAGTGTTCTCAGCACCGGGAGCGAGGCAGTGTTCTCAACACCGGGAGCGAGGCAGTGTTCTCAACACCGGGAGCGAGGCAGTGTTCTCAACACCGGGAGCGAGGCAGTGTTCTCAGCACCGGAGTGAGGCAGTGTTCTCAGCACCGGGAGCGAGGCAGTGTTCTCAACACCGGGAGCGAGGCAGTGTTCTCAACACCGGGAGCGAGGCAGTGTTCTCAACACCGGGAGCGAGGCAGTGTTCTCAACACCGGGAGCGAGGCAGTGTTATCAACACCGGGAGCGAGGCAGTGTTCTCAGCACCGGGAGCGAGGCAGTGTTCTCAACACCGGGAGCGAGGCAGTGTTCTCAACACCGGGAGCGAGGCAGTGTTCTCAACACCGGGAGCGAGGCAGTGTTCTCAGCACCGGGAGTGAGGCAGTGTTCTCAGCACCGGGAGCGAGGCAGTGTTCTCAGCACCGGAGTGAGGCAGTGTTCTCAGCGCCGGGAGCGAGGCAGTGTTCTCAGCGCCGGGAGCGAGGCAGTGTTCTCAGCACCGGGAGCGAGGCAGTGTTCTCAGCACCGGGAGCGAGGCAGTGTTCTCAGCACCGGGAGCGAGGCAGTGTTCTCAGCACCGGGAGTGAGGCAGTGTTCTCAGCACCGGGAGTGAGGCAGTGTTCTCAGCACCGGGAGTGAGGCAGTGTTCTCAGCACCGGGAGTGAGGCAGTGTTCTCAGCACCGGGAGCGAGGCAGTGTTCTCAGCACCGGAGTGAGGCAGTGTTCTCAGCACCGGGAGTGAGGCAGTGTTCTCAGCACCGGGAGTGAGGCAGTGTTCTCAGCACCGGGAGTGAGGCAGTGTTCTCAGCACCGGGAGTGAGGCAGTGTTCTCAGCGCCGGGAGCGAGGCAGTGTTATCAACACCGGGAGCGAGGCAGTGTTATCAACACCGGGAGCGAGGCAGTGTTATCAACACCGGGAGCGAGGCAGTGTTATCAACACCGGGAGCGAGGCAGTGTTATCAACACCGGGAGCGAGGCAGTGTTATCAACACCGGGAGCGAGGCAGTGTTATCAACACCGGGAGCGAGGCAGTGTTATCAACACCGGGAGCGAGGCAGTGTTATCAACACCGGGAGCGAGGCAGTGTTCTCAACAGTGGGAATGAATCAGTGTTCATAATATAAGTGATGCATAATTTTGTGTTTAACATGGAAGGAAGAAGGGGATGGGACGGAGGGGTGAGGAGGAGGGGTAGGAAGGTCGCTGCAGCAGAATCCTGAGGGTCGTGCTCAAGAGATATTCAACCCGAGACACGACCGTGTCCTCCAAGGCTTCTGTAGGCTCCATCGGTTGCATCAACCAGTTTCCACTAATAGTCCGCATGCACTCTGATGTAGCTATGGAGTTCTTCACCTTTTTGCTCTTTTTAAATACACAAGGAAATCATAATAGAGTAATATACCAATGAGAAAATTGCTGGAGCAGAGTGGAGATTGAACCAGCGGTACCCACTCACTGTTGGGTGAACAGAGGCGTACAGTTAAGGATTGGTGCCTAGTCAATCCTCCCCGGCTAGGATACGAACCTTGGCCTGATCGCTCGCGAAGCGTATTGAGAGTGTCTTATCACTGCCCCACGGGGACTGCCAATAATTATATAAATAAGCAACTGCACCAAGAACCACTACAATACGCAGGAATTTTGTCTAGGATTTCCGATGACTTCAGTTTAAGAGTTAAAGAGCGAGAAGAATATTGTGAAGAAGAGGGTGAAGAACATAATGATGACGATGAAAAGGATGATGATGATTAAGATAAAGAAGCATCAGAATTCAGCGTGGGTTGGCACTATCCTGCACGTGACAAAACGATAAGCTCCACAGCCAAGGATCCGCTCCCACAGCCTGAGGGAGGTGGCACAGGGCCAGCAGGGACGTCCTGCAGTCCTGGTGCAGCCTGCGGGGGCAGAGGACGTCGTCGGAGCCGGGTCCCGTGCACTTGATCATCCAGGGAGGACCCCAGCCAGACCAGGATGGCCCAGTGGACGGTGGTGTGGTGGTGCCTGATGGTGATCACTGCAGACGCGGGCCTCGCCAGCGGTGTGGAGGGTGAGTATGAGAGAGAGAGAGAGAGAGAGAGAGAGAGAGAGAGAGAGAGAGAGAGAGAGAGAGAGAGAGAGAGAGAGAGAGAGAGAGAGAGAGAGAGAGAGAGAGAGAGAGAGAGAGAGAGAGAGAGAGAGAGAGAGAGAGAGAGAGAGAGAGAGAGAGAGAGAGAGAGAGAGAGAGAGAGAGAGAGAGAGAGAGAGACAGAGACAGAGAGAGAGAGAGAGAGAGAGAGAGAGAGAGAGAGAGAGAGAGAGAGAGAGAGAGAGAGAGAGAGAGAGAGAGACAGAGAGAGAGAGAGAGACAGAGAGAGAGAGAGAGAGAGACAGAGAGAGAGAGAGAGAGAGAGTCAGAGAGAGAGAGAGAGAGAAGAGAAGAGAAAGAGAGACAGAGAGAGATCACTATGGTCTCTCTGAAAAGAGTCAGAGAGAATGCCAACAAAGGTTGGCCCTCAGCCTCCACAATCCCCAACACTGCTGGTTAGACAAGAAATGTTACTGTACAAAACGTGGTGCAGAGCTGTAGGGAGATAAAACATGAAAATTTGATATGAAAGGAGAAATAACGAACCAACTGCTACTAATAAAAGTGCATCCAATTGCTTTTGCTGCTACAGTCGGCAGACACGCCAAATAAACTTTACAACCAGCAGACACTACAATAGGGACACTACAACAGTCTCTACAGGCAGCAGACTGTAAATAGGGACACTTCAGCAACCTCTACAACTAGAAGACATTACAATAAGGAAACAAAAACTTTTTCAAATAGTAGACACTACAATAGGGACACTAGAACGTCTACCATTTCTGTTTGTTTCTGCTCTATTTTGAGAATATTAAGTTACAATAATATTTTTAGGTCATCTCCTTGATGCTGCTGGATAGGTTGTCCCCTTTGATGCTGCTGGATAAGTCCTCCTCCTGATGATGTTGGACACTTTAACCTCAGGTGTTTCATGGAACACAATGCGCAGACACACGGCATTAACTACAAGGCTTATAAAAGATCAAAATAAATAATATATTTACATAAGATTACAAAAGAGGGAGGTACGGCTACATGAATGAGCCTTAGATGGAGCAGGATATCACAGTACCATGGCATTATACCGTACCTGGATGGTACACTGTGAGCACAGCGTTGAGTATTCAGATGGTACTGGGTGGTGTGGATGCGAGATCTTCTTAAAGGTCAGAATTCCTATCGTCTGGCATCTTTGATAATGGTTTCCTGTTCAGCTGAAGGGGGGGGGGTTTAGCAGCCTCGCTCCTACGGGGCTAACGATCTTCTTTATTTACCTAGCAAATATTAAATGTATTTACACAATTTACCCAAGGAACAGGCCTGAATACGAGATAAACAAGTCTGAGGTGATAGCAAGACATTATAGTACCGTGTTATAGTGCACCACACAGGGAGGTATTTTCAAATGATGGAGTTTGACGTTACATATAGCACTGGTCGAGGAAAGTACTGCGAGAGCATGGAGAGTGACGGTACTGGCCGAGGAAAGTACTCAGAGAGCATGGAGAGTGACGGTACTGGCCGAGGAAAGTACTCAGAGAGCATGGAGAGTGATGGTACTGGCCGAGGAAAGTACTCAGAGAGCATGGAGAGTGACGGTACTGGCCGAGGAAAGTACTCAGAGAGCATGGAGAGTGACGGTACTGGCCGAGGAAAGTACTCAGAGAGCATGGCAAGTGACGGTACTGGCCGAAAGGAAGGAAAATATTCTAGCTTTCCATGTGTCGTCCCTGGCGTCTCTGACGACATTTCCTGTTAAATTTAATGCTGAATTTTTGAGGCCATAATTTTATTTATAAATCGTCAGTACCCTCTTTGTTATGACTCTAATGGTCTTCGATACATTTTATGATATTAATAAGTTCAATAACTTACAAAATATTTTATTAAAGATATATTAAATATTCGAAAAGGCAACTCAAATTTTATATTGTGTCTACAATTTTAAAAAAGTTCTTACAACAAAATACAATGTAAAACAAAGAATGTCCATGTACTGTATTTTATATTAAATCATCGTTAAGCTAATTTTCATTTCAAATGCATTTGCTAATTATTAATTTAACGGAGTCAGTAGCAAAAAGCTGCTTTCATATTGGGATCGATCCGATGCAATGAATGACAAACCAGTTTACTGTTAAAATTAACACAACACTTTGTTATGACTTCTACAGTCAGCCCGACGGCCCTCACAAGACTGTCTTCAGTCTAGCTACCCAGATAACAGTCAACGTGCATTGTTGCCTCACAAGCTTTCTGTTCTTGCCTTGTTTGTGCAGAGATCTGTTCAGTTGAACTCAAAACTACGACAATGTCACTGCCATCATGAATACATTGTTTTTGAACATCCCTAATACAGTCTTACATTGTTTTTGAACATCCCTAATACAGTCTTACATTGTTTTTGAACATCCCTAATACAGTCTTACATTGTTTTTGAACATCCACACTTCACAGTGTTACTTTGATTTTGAACAACTCCACTGTACAGTGTTACATTGTTTTCGAACATCCACACTGTACAGTGTACAAGGTGTAGTACAACATCTGGTGCTGGTCTGTGACGTCACCACTAGCTGGTCACTAACACCAACATTTCCTTTAACCTTTATGTGGACCATTTTCACCTCCAGCGTCCTCCACCTTCCGCAGAGTGCTTCTTGTACCCCGTGACGAAGGGGGAGAAGAGCCCCAGCGTCCCCCTCCAGGACAGCGGCGACACCATCATCACCATCAACAACATCTACGACAACAACACCGTCACCACCATCACTACTGACGATGGTGTCTGTGTGGCGCGGGTCCTTCATAAGAGCACTTATAAACCGAGGGAAGATGGCTGCCCTGTCCTCGACGCCAGCGCTGGTAATTATAATACTTTATAATTTAAATCTGAGGAATGAGCCACATCACTGGTCAAGTTGCTCCCTCAGTAGTACGAGCCAGGAGACAACTGACAGTAATTAATTATCACTATGATGATCATTATCATCGTGATCATCACATCCCCGTGATGAGCATTAGTCATCGTACACCAACAGATGAGCATCTTTCTTATGACGGTATCATGACTTATATTTTTGTATTATATTTATATATACAAGAGTTCTTACATTCTTGTAAAGCCACTAACACACATAACTTTTTTGGGCAGGTCCTTAATCCTATTTTTTCCCCGGAATATTACCCGCCAAATATTTTAACAACCAGGTACCAATTCACTGCTGGATGAACAGAGGTTACAGTTAAGGATTGGTGCCCAGTCAATCCTCACCAGCCAGGATACGAACCCAGGCCAAAGCGCTCTCGAAGCGCCGAGCGAGTGTTTTACCACTACGCCACGGGGACTGCGCCACGATTTTATTTGTTAATATCATTTTGCTGTTTTTTCATGATATTAATTTTCATTAGGTTTGTAGTTAAATGTAATCCTCCTCAGAGATGTGTATTAGAGGGAGAGGGAGTGTAAGACTGTTGTGGCTTACACTTTTGTTTACATTAGCGTGTACAAATCCACAAGGGCCGTGACGAGGATTCGAACCTGCGTCCAAGAGCAGGTTCGACGTGATTAAGACGCTGCCTTAATCGACTGAGCTACGACATAGCTCGAGTGCATGAGGGAGTTGTTTAAAACCCTGGTTTGTGTCTCGGAGAGGCTGCAGGATCCAGTAAGTTCAATAGAACTTAGGTTTCAACTCTTTTGACCATGTCGTAGCTCAGTTGATTAAGGCAGCGACTGGGATGCTCTCGGAGGCAGGTTCGAATCCTCGTCACGGTCTTTGTGGATTTGTTCATTTCATGCATCACGCTATTGTGATTTCTGTGTGTAATTAGCGTGTAGCCTCGCGCTCTAGCTTCGCACTCCGCCTCTGAAAGGTATTTGTATTTGCAATATGCGGGTTAAACATTTATAGAAACGCTATGCGTGCTATTGGCTTTACAAGAATGTAAACAAAATGAAAACAAATTATAAGGGTTTGGAGGATGGATTAATGATTAATTAGCCTTTGTTTATGAGGACGGTCTGCTCTGGTGATGGTTCAGAGTCACCAATTTGCCTGCAGTTGCCACCATATAGGCCCGTCGTCAGTATCAGGCCAAGACTCATTCAACCTGTCCTCTGGAATAATATACCGCAGTTTGACGTCAAATTTCCAACGGACAAATAAAAGTGTACTATAATCCATAAGCATTCACATTTTCTATACGTGGTCGATCGCTTAGGTTAGGTTCGATAATCTTAGTACACCATTTTTTTACACCATATACCGAGGTTGTGGCACCTCAAGAGGACTGGCCGAGTTAACAATGCCTACTAGTGACCAGGAGGAGAGGAGCCCTGTGGAGTGTCTTCTGCCTCTGTGGTGGAGGAGCGACGTCGACCACGGCGTGTGGTGCTCGCGGAAGGACAGCGACGCAGAGGAAGCTGGCCCACCAGGCCCAGGGATGTCACTGGTGTCGGAGGCTACATCGACGTTCATGGAGAGAGCAGCGGTTATGCTATGGAAGTGCCCTTGAGTGATGCTTGTGTAACTGTCGACGTGTCGGTAACTGCAGTTTGGAAGGTCGCAAAGAGACTTGATCGGTGGTTAAGGTGAACTGTTTGGGGCTTTTGACGCAGTCAGTAAAATGTTTGAGACTGAGAAAACTCTTAAAGATATGGGGTACTCTGTAGACAGTTGGAACCGCAGGAAAACTTGATATCATTGTGGAATATAGGAACAGTGTGGCAACCCAGCCAGGATAACAGGTGGTTTATGATAAACTGTGAGGCAGTACAAGGACTTGTGGGGAAACTGGCGATAAAGTGGCACGATGTTAACTTACATAATGTTAGTTACTTTAATTATCTAGGGTACATGGTGGTTCAACAGCCTGAATGCAGGGTGAAAATTAACATGTTTTATCAAAGTTTAATTTTATTCACAAAATAGGCTTTGCCTCGTTTCAGTTACTTTGAAAACACTTACAAATGTGACTCTCCCACTCATGGCGAACTGCGTTAACACATTTGGTGTTGTACACAAAACTGAATTTCGAATGTTTTCTTGTAGGTGGTTCATGTTTCATATCCTTTCCTGGTGCACCATAAGGCTGTCAAGTGTTCTCGCCGGTAATGAATTACCGTTAAGGTATTCAGAACCTCAGAGCCTCAAGAGGCTCTGAGGCCTCTTGAAATGGCCTCAGAAGTCCTCGCTATGTATGAAAATTTTTGGATCACCTATTATTATTAACTAGCTGTACCCGGGCATGCGTTGCTGTGGCTCAGCAATGGATGCGCATTACTGAGCCACAGCAACCCTCCTCTGTCCCCCTGTCCTCCCCACCATTCCCCCGCTCCCGTCCCCTCATCCTCCCTACCATCCCTCACAACTCCGTCCCCTCGTCCTCCCCAACATCCCCCACTCCCCCGTCCCCTCGTCTTCCCAACCATTCCCCACTTCCCCGTCCCCTTGTCCTCCCCACCATTCCCCTCTCTCTCGTCCTCCCCATCATCCCCCACTCTACTGTCACCTTGTCCTCCCCACCATTCTCCATTCCCCCGTCCCCTCATCCTCCTATACCATTGCCACACTCCCCCGTCTACTCGTCCTCTTCACCATTACCCCCCTTTCCCGTCCTCTCGTCCTCCCCACCACGCCCCACTTCACTGTTCCCACCATTCTCCACTCCCCCGTCCCCTCTTCCCCAACATCTCCCACTCCCCTGTCCCCTCGTCCCCAACATCTCCCACTCCCCCGTTCCCTCGTCCTCCCCACCATTCCCCACTCCTTCGTCGGATGCGTTTCCAAATGATCTAATGTTCCTATCAGAAAAATGGGAACATCAAATGATCTGATGTTCCCATCACTGAAAATTAAGCAGAACAGTTAAAAAAAGTAATGAAAAAATGAAAAGAATGAAAAATAAACTATATTTACCAATTGAACAGTATGGTACATGTTACGTACCTCTATAAGATACGTAATTAAATAAATTAATATGTACCTTTATATTTGTGTATAAATTACATGTATGTATATTGATATACTTATATGTTCTATGTAAAATAATTTCATGTTACATTGTTGGCGTTAGGCCCAACGTATCGTGGGAATGATCGTTTTATTTCTTTGTGTACTCAGTTTCCCACGGGAACTAATGATTTATATGTGATCATATGTGGGTAACATAGTTGAATAATAATTGTATGAACTGTATCTGGCAAATTGCCGTGGGATAGTCCGTTGCTGGATGAGCATGCCATCATTCCCCTTTGTATGTGTATTTTAATTACTACGTAAAGCAATAATTACCTTATTTTTGTTATACCAATAAGTATTGAAAATTCATTAAGTTAGTTTAAGATTACTCTTGTCACAATGTGTTGCTCCATTGAAGAAATAATAAATATTGTAACTTTGGCAAATTCTCGCGGGGCAGAGGCAATGATTTTGACTCCCGCAGATATGTAGGTCAGTAACTGTTACGGGCCAGGAGGGATCACATCTCTGGTGGAGTTAAGTTGTGCATCTTTGTTTCTTGTCATTAGTAGAAATTTGTTCTGGGAGAGACAGTAGTATTTTAATTTGATATATTTGTGATCTAGTGACATTCTGTTCTTACATACTGAGATTTATAGAATATAGATATATATAAGTTTTATATGTATTCCTTCAGTCCTAAAGGAAAATTTTAACAAAGTGCTCATTACTTATTAAGGGGTTACACTGGTGACCCGCTCTTGTGAACAGCAGTTTTAGTAACCCTAGACCTTTTTTAAAGTTGACTGTTGTAGGGTCACGAGCCGTAACGAACGATAGGTAACAGTACACAACACAGCTCAATTCCAAAACAATGTCACGCAAAATAATTAAATCAAAATGAAAATAAATTGAAATCTATGAAAATTCAATTTATCAATGCATAGAAAAAATTGAAATCGAATCGTAACATATTTAGTATAGCGTGTTGCTTTTATGTGCAACAGATGACGCTGTTTAAAAAAAAAGTATGTTTTTACCTGTCACAGGTGTGACATCTATATAGTAGGTATATAAAAGCGCACACATATTCGAATGGAACGTTGTCAAAATTTCAATGTAATCGGTGAAGAACTTTCGGAGACTAGCGAACAAACGAACAGTTACATTTTTATTTATATAGATAAAAAAAACAGTCAGTGGTGATTGTTACCTTTTATTTTTTTTAATTTTTTAATTAACTCTGGTACAAGAGTAACAGTGCTAAGAAAGTGAAAATTGACAACGATGAAAGACTGTTTGCAAGAACAGTATTCACATTATTGGAAACTCTAAGGATAAATCAAGCCCGTGTTCATTATATTTTATAATTAATAATTATAATAAGTAATTGTGTCGGTGGACAGGGAGCCATGTTGAGAATAAGAAATTAAGAAGTAGGAAGCACAGCAGCAAGCCTGATGGTCCACGCTAGGCGGGTTCTGACATGTTCAAACTGTTTCAGAATCGTGTTTATATTTTCCTTGTTTATAACCCTAACCCACTTGAACACTTGGATCGTGTCCACCTTGTCCCGCGTCTCTCTAACCAGAGTAGATTAAGACTTGCATCTGTTATACCCATCCAAGTGGAGCCTCACCAGTGCTAGGTGTAACTAAAGGATGATACTAGTGTTTCTGTTGCTGATGGTTCTTATAATAATTCCTAGCACCCTGTTTGTTTTATTTTGTGCAGTGATACATTGATGTCTGGGCCTCGGGTTGCTGCTGAACATCACTCCCAAGTCTCTCACACAATTTGATATACTCATCACAGTAGTATTGATGTGGTACATAGCAACACTGTCTTTGTCTAGGTTAACAAACTTGCAGATATTAATGTTAAACTGCATTTGGCATTTCGCAGTTCCTTCAGGGTTTTTCTTTTGAATTCGTTGAACGCCCAATACTTATATCGTCAACAAACATGCTGTTGTCACTGGTCTCTCCAGTATTACGGTCGATTATGTAAATGATTAAATTACGGTTGTTGATTTATGAAGCGAATTACCAGTAACATAAGAGACGTGAGGTCGCTGGACTGTTTCAAGCGAAGGTTTGAAATAAATATTAACGAGTTTGATTGCAATAAAGAGGAGCAGCCTCGCATGGGTCAGTAGGCATTCAACAGTTTCATATATTCTTATATTCTCCCCAGTCGACACCAGCACCGGGACGAGGCAAGAGTTAGTGACGGTGGTTGTGCGTCGGGGAGGAGGGAGGACCAGCGTGTACCTGCGGGACTCCGGGGACCACGATCACCAGGTCAAGGTCAACCTCAGTGACGCCAGCAGCCTTCACGTTGTGTCCCAGGAGTTCATCAACGTTGGTTACGGCTGTTACGACGGTCAGTTGAGACAGACAGACACAGAGAGGAGGAAGTTATTGAGTGATTGTTTTTTTATCGTCGTGTTCTTATTATTTTTTAAACATTTTATGTTAGAAAATATAATGTTTTAATCACGAAATTTATGAAAAATTTATTCAGATTAAAATGGTTTTCTTGATATTATAAGTTATTTTACTGCTAAAATTAGCTAATGTTATTTCTAAAATATAAATGAGTTATTATAAATATTTGTAGTTCCACAAAGTTACCAGCCAGTGTTGAGTGTGAAGTTGTTAAGAGTCAGTTGTGGTAGTGGCGGGTCTCACACTGTTGGGGTGTTCCAGGATGTTTCCAGTTCCAGAAGGCCACCATTCACAAGAGCTTCAGTGACGGACGTCCTGGATCTTTACTCTTCTACGGACAACTTACGGGCTCGGGACCACCCAAGGGGACCATATATGCTTTAAGAGACGCTGGTTGGAACCAAAGGAGAGGTTTCTACCCACAGGACAGTATAATGAACAACACTCACTGGTTCGCGTTCCGAGCGCTGCCAGAGTACACCAGAGACAACAGGGGTAAATACATACTTAGCCTGACACTCCGGTACGAGACTGCCACCTCCAGCTGCAGCCCGGAGGACCCAGCCTGCAATCCAGGACAGATTACACATTTTGTAGGAGACGTTCCTTCCAAGGATTTGTACCTGACTTTCTATGCGACGGAGAATGTGCGGTGGGCCGTGTTCTGCCGGCCTCTGACCACTAGCCAGGAGCCAGGTGAGGAGGACCAGCCAGCTCTTACCACAACCACCTCACCAACCACTATTAATTGGTCTCTTCCCTTAAACAACAGCTGCCAAATTAATGATTGTCAAGGTTAGTATATATATTATTCGTTAGTATGTGAATATATGTATTAGCGACGGGGGGGGGGGGGGGATACCCAGCAGTGCCTCTCTCTCGCTCATCCCCTTATCTCTCTCGCTCTGTCCCTCCCATTTCCTCTCCTCTCCCTTCCTCCCTCCACAGCTCCACCCTCCTCCCGGGTGTCTTTATACAACTAGGTGAGGTTAACTGTGCCAAAAGCAGCACTACAAAGCCTTAGTAAAAACCTAACCCATCTTTCTCTAACTTCATGCTGTGCTTTATTAGATACTGACTCTATGCTGATGCTGCATACTCCAGGAATGGTCTGACATATGTGGTATACAAGGTTCTTAATGATTCCTACAGATATTTCTATAGACAGTGCTTATACTGGCATATACCTTATGGTGTTGATGATACGCTTTTGAAGTGGGCTTCAGGAGACAGGCGGGTGTGATATCAAGCCTTAGATCCTTCCTTGTGTTCTATTCGCGAGAAATTTCATCTTCCATTTCGTTCCTTGTGTCCGGGTCCTCCTCTCTACACCTATTTTCTGAACTTTGCACTTATATGAATTAAACTCTAGTTGCCATTTTTTGGACTATTATATCAGTTTGTCCAAATAATCTTGTAGACTCTTGCTATCTTCGTCTGTCATAACTCTTCTTATAATTTTAACATCATCTGTAATCTTTGAAAGGAATGAGTTTATTCCCGCTGAAAGATCATATACATATATCAAAAACAGGATAGTTGCGAGTACTGAACCCTGTGGGACTCCGCTGGGGACATCTGGCGAACCGGAGATCTCTCCTCACAGTACCTCGCTTTGTTGTGATCTGTCGGTACTGACTTATCCACCGGAACACATTCCCTGTCACTCTTGTCTGTTTTGTCCAATGAATGCAAAAGTCTCTTAAAGGGTACTGTGTCGAAGATACAGTACCCTGACAACCAAAAGATATACACTCTGCCCGCCGGTTTGTCTTGTGAAGCAAGATTTAGTATCAGTAAATCTGTGTTGGTGGTGTTACAAAGTCCCTTAATTATCTCCAGAAGTGCTGTTAGCTTTTCTCGCGCAATCTTCTGAATCACTTTGCATGTATATTTTTTATTTTACCTGAGGGCCACTAACCCTAGTGGCCTCGACGAGGACAGAAAGCAGGCGGCTTGTCGAAGGTCGCCGGCCCACCATTTGCTATGATGATCTTTTCCAGATATATTTTGAAACGGTTTCATTGGTTAATACTGCGGGTGAAAAAGCATTGCCTGTTCTCAGTCCTACAGTGTGGCTTGTTGAGCTTGAAACCGTTCTTCCTAGTTTGTGTTACAGCTGACCTGAAGAAAATATCCGCATCAACGTCCTCTAACTTGTTCAGTATTTTAAAAATTTCAATGAGAAAATTTAAATATTTTTAAATTTCATACTACATGAAAATTCATGTAGTATATTGGAATTACATTGCCTGTCTTCAAACTTTATGGTAGGTCCTCTGTTTCCAAAGACCTTTCATACACCACAGTGTGTGGCTGCTCCCTCTTTTAGAAAATTTCGTAATATTTATATTGTGCAATATTCTGGCAAATGAGATTCCGAGTTATCATTAACCTTCCTGAGCTTATCGAACCTCATCAACCGTTATCATTAGTGTTATCTTGACCCATGTACAACAAAGAGGGGAATTAAAACAGGATTCAATATTGTTCTTTTTTTGGCAGAAATGGCGATGTTGTGGCGTGTAATGTGGAGTGCGCTGGTGCTGGCAGTGGTGTGCGTGCTGCTGTTGCTGGTCACCGTCTTCCTCAACATTATTATTGTACGTCGACAACCACCACCATCTCGCCCCTCTCACCCCAACACCGTCCCTCTCGCCGTCACCTCTCTACCAAGTTAGTTGTCAAGACTTTCTCTCTAAATTCTTGGCCGATTTCATATTCATCTGTTTATTTTAAAGTTTTATCTAGAATGTTTAATTTATTAAATGATCATAATAATTGCTTTAAATAGTAACAAGTTTTAATAATGAAGATAATTATTATTATTATTATTATTATTATTATTATTATTATTATTATTATTATTATTATTATTATTATTATTATTATTATTATTATTATTATAATTTTTCAAATTGGCACTGTCTTTGACTGTTAAACTTCCCTCCCCAACCAAATCCTTATCCTGACTCTTTCCCAGTGGTATGTAGTCGTAATGGCTTGGCTCTTTCCCGACAATTCCCTTACCTTTGACTATTAAATATATAATCTATGAAGTAAATGAAACTTTGTATGCGAGAGGTAATTGTTAGTCAATGCTTAAACGACTCGTGCTTAATGTTCTTCAGATAACGACCCTGCGAATCACATTTACGACTACCTAGAACCTGATCCTCTCTAAGATGACTGTCACCAAGCCAGAAGACTCCCCAGGACCGTTTAGCTCCGGAGCCATAACCCAGCCCGCTGGTGATAATGCCATAAGAGAAGTTTAACTGACGTGACTGGCAGGCTAAGTTAATAGGTCACTAGTGGTTCTTCCTCAACTCTGAAAGGCTGCTTGCAATAGGGAATATACCTTTGAATTAGCTAAAGAGCAATATATTGACAAAATAGTGATAGAGCTCACTCATGCATCAAATATGTGAAAATGGGATTTATATATATATAAAAATCGAGCAGTAAAATATTTAATTGTTAAAAGGAATAGGAGGATAAAATGCGTAATCAAAGTATGCTTGCCAAGTAGTGTAGTGTGAAGCGGTATTAGTTTGTAATGTATGCTTGAACTAAGTCAACTCTGATAACAGCATCGGGTGAGGTCCACAGGACTAACAATACTACATACTGTGTGATCGAAACATTTATAATGCTGAACAATTTGGAAGACTTTAATCTAGACAACTTCCTGAAAAGGTTCAATGTAATTGACACAGGGGGCAATAGCTTCATGCTCAACAAGCCACAACGTAGGACACACAACAGGACATAAATTCTTTAATCAAGGTTAATGGAATCGCGAATCACTATACCTTCTGATTCTGCAACTCCAACAGCACCTCGTGCAAAACATACTTCAGAAGCCCTTGATCCTGCAGCACCGTCTACAGGGCTTCCTACTAGTGGAATTGTTCCTGCTGCAACTTGCGATCCTGCAATACAACCTCAAACACCGGCTCTTGCAACAACAACTATAGAATCCACTGATTCTTCAACATCAACTTGAGCACCTTCAGGCACTGAATCAGCTGCCGCTGTAGCACTTGAGCAGTCTGCCTGAGACAAACCCTCTACATCATCTGGAGAAGAAACATCAGAGAATGTCACTGATGCCTCCACACATCCACCATCTCGACATTTCAAGATCAAGAAAACCACATCTCCAGATGAAGACACTCAAGAACTAGACATTGAAGCCCAAGAATATTACAAAAGCATGGAATCTCCAGTAAGCAGACGAGACCAAGAATATCGAAAAAGCAAAGAAGAAGAGGATCCTTCTCTGAAAGTGATCATTCCAGCTGAAACAATCCATAAATCATGTGATCTTGACAGTTTTACGACCTTCATGAGATTCCCATCTCCCAGACATACGATCTTCATGAGAGTCCCATCTCCCAGACATACGATCTTCATGAGAGTCCCATCTCCCAGACTTACGATCTTCGTGAGAGTCCCATCTCCCAGACTTACGATCTTCGTGAGAGTCCCATCTCCCAGACTTACGATCTTCGTGAGAGGTCTCATCTCCCAGAGACTTACGACCTTCACATTGAGACTCACACTCATAGAAGCTCTTGGCGTCTTTCTTGCTTTATCTTTCTCTAGCATATAAATACATGATACATTCCTGTGTGAAATATGTATATAACAATATATTATAACCTGTCCTCAACACATATCAGTAGTACAATATTGGACTTATAATGTAGGTCAACTTTGGCACTTAACTATGAATGTTCAAATCTTTGTTCATAGTTTACGCATATATTTGTTTACCTTCTTTTCGGGGCAAATTCACCCTGTGAAGTATAGGTAAGTTAGGTAAGGCTAGGTTAAGTTAGGATAGTTTTACATTTATTAAAATGTTGGGAGAAAGTTTTTAAGTAACTATGAAAAAAATTATAGCGATGGCCTTGATTTATTCATATAACTAATAAATGATCTCGGTCTGGTATAATAATTATCTCTAAGAAACCATTAGTAACATCGCCGGACCCCGACCTGGCTTACCCGGCAGCCGATGTCTGTTTCTCTGGCGCTGTCGACGGGGAACTCTGGTATTTTATTAAGTGTAATGTGTAGTCCAAATATAGATAATAATGTCGAGCAGAGTCGTCACGACAAGCTCCTCCATTGTATATTTCTTATAAATAAACATATGACATTTCCTTTCTGTCCACCTTTTAACCACAAGAGTTTATAAGGTCCACTACATAAGGACTTATATTTATTCTAAAGTACTCTCCATAGGGACTGCTTTGGTGTTGGGGTTAAGGCCTATCCACCTCTGGACGATTGATAAGGCTACAGCCAATAATTACTGACCTTCCAGCAGGTATATTGTTTTTGGACAATATAGGTAGCGAGGCAGTGTTCTCAGCACCGGGAGCGAGACAGTGTTCTCAGCACCGGGAGCGAGGCAGTGTTATCAACACCGGGAGCGAGGCAGTGTTATCAACACCGGGAGCGAGGCAGTGTTATCAACACCGGGAGCGAGGCAGTGATCTCAACACCGGGAGCGAGGCAGTGTTATCAACACCGGGAGCGAGGCAGTGTTCTCAACAGTGGGAATGAATCAGTGTTCATAATATAAGTGATGCATAATTTTGTGTTTAACATGGAAGGAAGGAGGGGGAAATACGGAGGGGTGAGGAGGGGTAGGAAGGTCGCTGCAGCAGAGTCCTGAGGGTCGTGCTCAAGAGATATTCAACCTGAGACACGACCGTGTCCTCCACGGGTTCTGTAGGCACCATCGGTTGCATCTACCAGTTTCCACTAATAGTCCGCATGCACTCTGATGTAGTTATGGAGTTCTTCACCTTTTCGCTCTTTTTAAATACACAATGAAATCATAATAGAGTAATATACCAATGAGAAAATTGCTGGGGCAGAGTGGAGATTGAACCAGCGGTACCCACTCACTGTTGGGTGAACAGAGGCGTACAGTTAAGGATTGGTGCCTAGTCAATCCTCCCCTGCTAGGATACGAACCTTGGCCAGATCGCTCGCGAATCGCATGGCGATTGTTTTATCACTGCGCCACGGGGACTGCCAATAATTATTTAAGTATGTAACTGCACCAAGAACCACCCCAATACACAGGAATTTTGTCTAAGATTTCCGAAGACTTCAGTTTAAGAGTTAAAGAGCGAGAAGAATATTGTGAAGAAGAGGGTGAAGAACATAATGATGACGATGAAAAGGATGATGATGATGATGATGATGATTAAGATAAAAAGCATCAGAAACAATAGTGTCAGCGTGGGTTGGCACTATGTTGCACGTGACTATATCAGCCCACACAGCCAAGGATCCGCTCCCGCATCCTGAGGGAGGTGACACATTTCCAGCAGGGACGTCCTGCAGTCCTGGTGCAGCCTGCGGGGGCAGAGGACGTCGTCGGAGCCGGGTCCCGTGCACTTGATCATCCAGGGAGGAACCCAGCCAGACCAGGATGGTGGACCAGTGGACGGTGTTGTGGTGGTGCCTGATGGTGATCACTGCAGACGCGGGCCTCGCCAGCGGTGTGGAGGGTGAGTATGAGAGAGAGAGAGAGAGAGAGAGAGAGAGAGAGAGAGAGAGAGAGAGAGAGAGAGAGAGAGAGAGAGAGAGAGAGAGAGAGAGAGAGAGAGAGAGAGAGAGAGAGAGAGAGAGAGAGAGAGAGAGAGAGAGAGAGAGAGAGAGAGAGAGAGGAGAGAGAGAGAGAGAGAGAGAGAGAGAGAGAGAGAGAGAGAGAGAGAGAGAGAGAGAGAGAGAGAGAGAGAGAGAGAGAGACAGAGAGAGAGAGAGAGAGAGAGAGAGAGAGAGAGAGAGAGAGAGAGAGAGAGAGAGAGAGAGAGAGAGAGAGAGAGAGAGAGAGAGAGAGAGAGAGAGAGAGAGAGAGAGAGAGAGAGAGAGAGAGAAGAGACAGAGAGAGATCACTATGGTCTCTCTGAAAAGAGTCAGAGAGGATGCCAACAAAGGTTGGCCTTTGTTGGCATCCTCTCCCCATCCCCAACACTGTTGGTTAGACAAGAAATGTTACTGTACAGGACGTGGTGCAGAGTCGTAGGGAGATAAGACATGAAAATTTGATATGAAAGGAGAAATAACGAACCAACTGCTACTAATAAAAGTGCATCCAATTGTTTTTGCTGCTACAGTCGGCAGACACGCCAAATAAACTCTACAACCAGCAGACACTACAATAGGGACACTACAACAGTCTCTACAGGCAGCAGACTGTAAATAGGGACACTTCAGCAACCTCTACAACTAGAAGACACTATAATAAGGAAACAAAAACTTTTTCAAATAGTAGACACTACAATAGGGACACAAGTACGTCTAACATTTCTGCTTGTTTCTGCTCTATTTTGAGAATATTAAGTTACAATAATATTTTTAGGTCATCTCCTTGATGCTGCTGGATAGGTTGTCCCCTCGATGCTGCTGGATAGGTTGTCCCCTTTGATGCTGCTGGATAGTCGTCCTCCTGATGATGTTGGACACTTTAACCTCAGGTGTTTCATGGAACACAATGCGTAGACACACGGCATTAACTACAAGGCTTATAAAAGATGAAAATAAATAATATATTTACATAAGATTACAAAAGAGGGAGGTACGGCTACATGAATGAGCCTTAGATGGAGCAGGATATCACAGTACCATGGCATTATACCGTACCTGGATGGTACACTGTGAGCACAGCGTTGAGTATTCAGATGGTACTGGGTGGTGTGGATGCGAGATCTTCTTAAAGGTCAAAATTCCTATCGTCTGGCATCTTTGATAATGGTTTCCTGTTCAGCTGAAGGGGGGGGGGGTTAGCAGCCTCGCTCCTACGGGGCTAACGATCATCTTTATTTACCTAGCAAATATTAAATGTATTTACACAATTTACCCAAGGAACAGGCCTGACTACGAGATAAACAAGTCTGAGGTGATAGCAGGACATTATAGTACCGTGATATAGTGCACCACACAGGGAGGTATTCTCAAATGATGGAGTTTGACGTTACATATAGCACTGGTCGAGGAAAGTACTGCGAGAGCATGGAGAGTGACGGTACTGGCCGAGGAAAGTTCTGAGAGAGCTTGACTAGTGACGGTACTGGCCGAAAGGAAGGAAAATATTCTAGCTTTCCATGTGTCGTCCCTGGCGTCTCTGACGACATTTCCTGTTAAAATTAATGCTGAATTTTTGAGGCCATAATTTTATTTATAAATCGCCAGTACCCTCTTTGTTATGACTCTAATGGTCTTCGATACATTTTATGATATTAATAAGTTCAATAACTTACAAAATATTTTATTAAAGATATATAAAATATTCGAAAAGGCAACTCAAATTTTATATTGTGTCAACAATTTTAAAAAAGTTCTTACAACAAAATACAATGTAAAACAAAGAATGTCCATGTACTGTATTTTATATTAAATCATCATTAGGCTAATTTTCATTTCAAATGCATTTGCTAATTATTACTTTAACGGAGTCAGTAGCAAAAAGCTGCTTTCATACTGGGATCGATCCGATGCAATGAATGACAAACCAGTTTACTGTTAAAATTAACACAACACTTTGTTATGACTTCTACAGTCAGACCCGACGGCCCTCACAAGACTGTCTTCAGTCTAGCTACCCAGATAACAGTCAACGTGCATTGTTGCCTCACAAGCTTTCTGTTCTTGCCTTGTTTGTGCTGAGATCTGTTCAGTTGAACTCAAAACTACGACAATGTCACTGTCATCATGAATACATTGTTTTTGAACATCCACACTTCACAGTGTTACTTTGATTTTGAACAACTCCACTGTACAGTGTTACATTGTTTTCGAACATCCACACTGTACAGTGTACAAGCGTAGTACAGCATCTGGTGCTGGTCTGTGACGTCACCACTAGTTGATCACTAACACCAACATTTCCTTTAACCTTTATGTGGACCATTTTCACCTCCAGCGTCCTCCACCTTCCGCAGAGTGCTTCTTGTACCCCGTGAAGCAGGGGGAGCAAAGCCCCAGCGTCCCCCTCCAGGCCAGCGGCGACACCATCATCACCATCAACAACATCTACGACAACAACACCGTCACCACCATCACTACTGACGATGGTGACTGTGTGGCCCAGGTCCTTCATAACAGCACTCGCCAACCGAGGGAAGATGGCTGCCCTGTCCTCGACGCCAGCGCTGGTGATTATAATACTTTTTAGTTTAAATCTTCTGAGTAATGAGCCACATCACTGGTCAAGTTGCTCCCTCAGTAGTACGAGCCAGGAGACAATTGACAGTAATTGTTACTGTGATCGTCATTATCATCGTGATCATCACATCCTTGTGATGAACGTTAGTCATCATCGTACACCAACATGTGAGCATCTTTCTTATGACAGTTTTTTATTTTATTTATGTATACAAGAGTTCTTACATTCTTGTACAGCCACTAGCACGCATGGTGTTTCGGTCAGGTTCTTGATCATAATTTTTCCCGGAATACGACTCAGCCAATTGTTTAACTGGTACCCATTCACTGCTGGGTGAACAGAGGCTACAGTTGAGATTGGCGTGCAGTCAATCCTTCCCGGTCAGGGGCGTTACGAACCGAGGCCAAAGCGCTCGCGATGCGCCTGGTGAGTGTTATACCACTATGCCACGGGGGACTGTGCCACGATTTTATATGTATTAATCTCATTTTGCTGTTTTTTCACGTTATTAATTTTCATTATTATCGCAATTATATGTAATCCTCCTTCAACATGTGTATCAGAGGGAGAGGGAGTGTAAGGCTGTTGTGGCCATCACTTTTGTTTACATTAGCGCGTAGCCTCGCGCTCTAGCGTCGCCCTCCGCCTCTAAAAGGTCTGATTTTAGAGAGAGGAGGAGGGACGCGAGAGCTGCTGTAAGGTGTTGTGCTCAGTAGCTGTGAGTTTACTCTCTTTGAACATATTGTTTATTATTCGGCGCGTGATAAATGTCCCAGGTTGTGTATCATGATGTACCGCCCGTGTTGGAATATCAGTAATGTACGCACATGAGCTGTTTTGTTTCAGTCCTTCAGCACAAAATAGTTAAGAATAGCTTATATGCTCGTTGTTCCTGCCAGATTATTACTATTATAATTGTATGTGTTTATGTGGGACATTATTCTTCCTATGTATTGAATTATTAATTATTTTATTGGA